TTTTTAGGGAGAACATGCATTCTAAAGACCGACCTAGGGAAAAAAAACGAGATCATGGATGAGTAAAATGGTTTCGGAAAAGCTGCGATAGATCTAAGAATATGTATAAATTTTATAGTAGTTACATAAAGAACAATTCTACTGTTAACGCTGTCAAACAAGAACTTTGCGTTTACATTTCTTTTCTTCTTTCTTTCCGGCAGACACAATAAAAACCCGCAATGAATTGAAGAAATGGCGGGAATGGCGTGCGGCAGAACTCGAACGAGATCTGGCGTATTGTCATCCAAGATGGCCGCAAGAAGATCAATACCTTAGAGCAGAAATCAAAGCTGTGAGGAATCTCTCGCTCATTTCAGGCTCTGATTGGTGGATATATTTCGACTGGGCAGCGCTCGTGTTAATCCTAGCAACGATTGCATCACACGTGACATTCTTTCACTTCAGTAATGATATATCCAAAGAAATCCATCATTATATCATAATACCACTATTGCTGATTCTTTGGTTGAGAATTTTTAAATATGCCAGACCTTTTGAAGGCGCTGGTCCTTTTGTTGTCATATTTGGTCATGTTTTGGGTGACATCGTAAAATGGGGATTTTTAAACTTCATCATCATCATTCCATTCGCTTGCGCCTTCTGGATCACATTTGGGGCAATTTCACTGACACCTGTCCAGGGTTACGACAACGTTGGCCCCTTGTTATACAACATCTTCTCGATGATGGTTGTTAATGATCATGGTTATGAGAAGTTAGAAGAAGCAAATCCAGTTATGGCGAGGCTGCTCTGTGGTGCTTTCATCGGGATTGCTGCGATAGTCACCCTAAATCTGCTCATTGCTTTACTTTCGAACACATTTGAGAGGTTGTACGAGAACGCAGTCGCCAACGCCGTGATGCAAAGAGCAAGAACCATACTCTTACTTCAAAAATCATTACGGAAAAAACAGAAAAAGAAATATTATGACTTCATTAAAACTAACGGTAGTCCTGAAGTTATTGTTAAAACTCTTGGTCGGCTTTCGATGATGGATGGTGACGATCACGCGACTATTGAACGTGTGCGTGACGACGTGAAAGTTATTGTAAACTTACTTAGCGAAAAGTTCGGAAGAAAATTTGGAAAAGGAAAGAAATCTGATTTGGACTTTGTAAAAATGGACGTTAGTAAAATAAGAAGATTTCAGGAGGAACTTATGGTCGATGTCAAAAATATGAAACAGACTTTGAAAGAAATAACGGAAAAAGTCAGGGAAATGGATAATACCGACGCGGAAGACATGAAGCAGACTTTGCAAATAATAACCAAAAAATTAGAAGACATAAAGAGAGAGAATGATAACGGCATCTCGAACAACATCACTACATCAACTGCTGGAACGCTATGTAATGATGTCTCCACACAACAAAGGCTTCGTGATAGATCAAGAGAATGCTGCGATGATTCGGAAACAGGAACGTCGGAAGATGACTCAAACGATGGAAACAGTACAACTAAAAAACTACATGGAAAGTTGTTTGGAAACGAAAAAATTCATCAAACTAAAAAAATCAGGAAAAGAAATAGAGCGACAGTGGTTACTTCTCAAACAGATGATTCTAGACGTCCGACACATCAACCTTATCCTCGTCAGTCGATATCAACAAATCCAGAAATATTGCGACGAAATTCTGGAGATCCTTTTTCCAACAGCCAATATTGGTATAATACGAATCGTGCTGGCATTCAGGTAAAACATCACCCAAATTAGCCATTCAAAATTGAACCATGCATAACAAGTAATTGTTTGCTTTTTTCAGGCATATTCGCCTTATGACCAGTGGTCCACTGTAACACCTGACCAAAACGCCCATCCTCACATGCAACACTCAGTAGAAAACCCCCTTCTTCACCAGGGATATGACTTTAATAAACGACTAAGCCAAGATTTTTCGTCGCCAAATGTCAATCAGCAACTATATCCATATAACATTGGTCATCCTCTCCGCAAGAATCATCCAAACTCTTTTCCACCACCAATTGAAAAACCGCAATCATCGCAATACTCGCCTTTCGCGAGAGGGATCTTTGTGAATCAAGATTTCTATCAACCAAGGTCAAATGAAAGCAACGTTTACAGACAAATGGTTCCGAACATGTCAGTATCTACCGATGGAGAAACGATTAATCCAGTGTTATCAGTGTCAGATCAGCAGCCTGCGTCATACACACACATGCCACCACAACCTACAACCTGCAGTGTAACGAAAAAACAGTTTGAGACTCTTGAAATGCAATATTCAGAAAATGATTCGAATCATGATGACGCCAAACAATATACGACAACGGGCATAGAACAACCATCGCACCTAAATAAAGTACCCAAGGATGCAATATTGCGGAGTGAAATAAAAAGCCAAGACAACCTCGATGACCACACAACTCTTGGTCCCAATCTAAACACTGACGTCCAATCAGCATCTAAAAAATCTGTAATAAGTGATGATAAAAATTCAATCAAAGCTGATATATCACAAAATATCCTGGAAATTCAAAATGAAGAAGCGTATCCGATACCAAATAATGAAGCCAACTTGTATCGTGAATATGGTAATCCCACTACGAAAATTGCATCACGTATCCAGCAAAGGGTGTCTTACTTCGAGGAGAAATTAGATGAAAATTACTCTTCAACATCCAACAGTTATGGTACAGAAATACAGCCCATTTATCTTTCAACTTCCAAAATGTCTGACGCTGCCGCATTACAAACATCCAATGATGCATCAAGATCAGTTTCCAACGATCTTGCCAAAAATATGACAGAGGTAGGATATCACGGAACTGTTATCTCACTCGGTCACTCTCATTTACCTCGGGTGCGATATCCACCGTGTGGGTTACACTCATTTACACAGTCTATCAACTTTATTGCTTTTAACTTAAAACCACCTCAGAGGCGTAGCTAGCTAGGATTTTAGGGACGGAGGGGGTTAAACATTCTGGGCAGGATTTCAATGTGGCATAATTGATGCAAAAATTTGATGGGCAAGACCACATACAGAATTTTTGCGGTATTGACAGCATAAAAACGATTCACTTCATTTTCTCAGGTAGGGCCGAAAATTTCACCAGGGGGCCGGGCCCTCCGGCCCCTGCCCTAGCTACGCCTCTGAGTGGTAACCACCTTACATAAAATGACGTGTTATAGTTTATCACCACATTTATAGGAAAACTACGTGCCATTCACACGTGGTCAAATGATCGTCTACTAGAAGCTCTCGTCTGTGGCAAACATATACAACAAAGCTATCTGACACGCAGCGTCGTTAAGCCTGGGTTTCATCACTCGCAGACAGTCGGCGATCTCTATTGCTGTTTCTTACCGACGCATAAAATGCCCTGTCCGTAGAGAAACATTTTCTACTTTATTCGTCATCGACATAGAGCATCGCCGACTGTCTGCGAGTGATGAAAACCAGCCTTTAGATAACACGTGTCTTGTAGGCTTTCAGAAATAGGCCTACGCCTGGCTCAGATAATGCAGGGTTTTCATGTAAGATGATGATAGATGTTGGCGCACGCCATGATGTAATCTTTGCTATAGCTGCACCTAGCACGCTGCACAAACGTACAATTTAAATGCTGTAGTAAACAGCACACCTCGTATTTCCCCTTTACTTACTCTTCTATAACAATTGAAATTTGATCAAAGGTTCCAACCGTTGAATCACTGAGTGTAACAGATCAACAACAGAATGAAGGATATCAAGCAGACGACATCTCCCAAGATGAAAACACAGAGAATGTTCACGCTGATGATGATCAACCATCGTCTCCAGCAACTGTGGACATTTAAATATACACATAGTTTCCACATAAAGCCGGTATAATTATATACATAGTGCCACCAATGTTCCGACCAACTTTCGAAATGATCTAATGTTAGAAAAGGAACCTTTCAGTACTTATTTGATGAAAATTTTCTTTCTGGTGGGGATATCATGTAATAGAAAAAATTATTACTATGCTCAATATTTACCGCGATCCAAGGTTGCTGTACATAAATTCTGCTTTTATATCAGGATAATACGATTGAGTACTGATTAAGATATAGGAAGGTATTAATTCTCTGATGAATAATTTCTTGGTTGGAAATCAGTGTACAAGTAATGAAGATCTGATTGTAATTAGTGTACTTATACAATACAAATGCATTTCCAATGTACTAAATAACAAGCAAAGAGTTTGACAACTGATCTGATCACCATTCTGATCACTGATATGACCACGGATCTGATCGACAAGCATACAATCAATATTTCTCTTTAGAATAGTGCATTTCATGCAGCTATAATATGATATGGCTATGTTAGTGATAAAGCATGCAGGAAAGAATATTTTATGAAGCCATTAAAAGAGCCAGACAAAAATACAATTTTAAATCCTAAAGGCTCGTTTATACTTGCGATTTTTGCGTCCATTTTCTTCATTCGTATCTGATTCACTCGTTCTTATCAATCAATAGAAGAAGAAAATAAATCGCAGCAAAAATTGCAAGTGTAAACGGACCTTAAGAAAATATGAATGATCCAAACGTGAACACAGGGGGGGGGGTCGTGCATGGTGACGTCTCCGTGGTGCGGCCAAAACGATCGATCGTGTGACTTCAGTGGACCTTTCTGGTGATCGACATGCACTTATAAATAATCAACACCTCACTAAAGATAATTAAAAATTCCGTTGTTGCTATGAACAATGTTTTTGCCTCATCCGTGTTGGTAAAGCAATTGTCATTGACGTTCTTCCAGTGATAAATGAAACATGTCTTTAGCTTGAAGGCTAAAACGATTAAACCCTTATAAAAGTTTGTAAACTTTAAACGTAAAGCCTTTGGACCAAGAGCTAAGTAGGCGTTGGGTTTAGCTGCGTTTATCACCCCTTTTGATATTCAAATCACATAGAGGTATTAAATTAAGACAATTACGTGCAGCCAGATTAAAGTAGCAGTCACTTAGTCAATATCATCAACTGACCAACAATACGAAGCAAGATTATTAGAAAACTAACGATGCAAATATAACTGTGTAGAGCCAAGATTCTACAACTATTCTTGTCGTTGCCACATTCATATAAGTTATTCTACAGGTACGTTATTCAGCCAAAGTGTAGTAAGCAAAATATGAAATCCTGCACAAGTCCTTTCATCCTTCTTAAAATAGCTATGGAAGGATCTCGTATACGATCTTGCAGAGGAAAGTGCCTCGTGCTTCCTGCACATGAATTAGTCTCTGCATAAAAACTAGCTATATATACTAATGTAGTTTTTCTATATTTTTCCGGATTAAAATATCTTGGAATTTGTGTTGTAAAAGTAACGACATGCATACAATTGACTTTTGCATAACTACAGTATGAAAATAATAGCAAGGACTATCACTTGTATAATTTAATTTTTAAATTTATCAACTTTTGTTTTGCACGACTAAGAACACCTTTGATAAGATATGCCTTTGGATATATCAATAGCTTGTTTGATACATCCGTTACTATATTCAAGGCTCCCGCTACCCTACTGCGTTATAGACATTTATAATATTCATTTCATCTTCTGTAGATCTGTTTCAAGACGTAAAAAGAGATGGAAAGTACAAATATGGACGTCATGCTGGATCCAAGACGTAATCAGGCAGCTGACAGGAAAAAACTGTACGAAGAAATGCTTTTAAAAGAATTGCCAGGTATATTACGCTTAACTCTCGGTTAGTTTACTGCAAATTAGTAAATATATTAATAAGTTTATTTTGCAAATATCTGCGATTCACAGTTAAGAAAAATGCATGCAATATATGTCTATATGGTCTGTATATTACCATCCCAAACCATCCCACAAGAATATTCATACACACTTCTATTACTGGTTGTATTGTAATGGCATTGTGATTTGTACAACGAATTTGTAACGGAAATTTAAATCTCAAACTGACCGATGCATGAGAACACAGCGAGGCTATATAGATTCCATAACTGAAACTCTGTAGGTTTAGAAAAACGTATTATGCCGTACATGGCGTCAATAAGATATAAATCCACAAATAGAAATAAATAAATAAATATCCAGAAATAAATCTATGTTGATTGCCACAATTATCATGCGCGAGCCGGTTCAACCGGTTATTACTTTTGGTAGTTATGGAGGCTCTGGTGTGGTGAGGATGTGATCATCAAAGTGGATTATGATAATTTAGATTGGATTTTAGGATATGAGGATATTGTTTATATGATCTTGTCGATTTATTTAAGTTAAAATAGCCTTTTAATCTTGATTGAGACCGTGTTGGCTAATCCAGACACAAATAAAAAAAGTATGAATAAAAAGTATATATTAAATCTCAAAAGAGAGACGATCACTTGCTTTTGAAATAAGTTTATGGTTAGGCTATATTATACTCGGTCATAACCCTTGGTCATATCTTTAACCCTTGGTCATATCCTTGGCCAGGTAATTTAACGCCAATTTTTTACGACAACAGGCAAACATGGCTTTTCAAGATTGTTTACATTATATAAATCCCATAATCTTATATGTCTTCTACATCAGAATTGATATAGATTTAACTTCCGTTAACATGCATGAAGCTATTAAGTCCAATTTATATAAGAGAATTTTTTTATGCCATTCTTTTGTCTAAGTGCATCTTCTAACAATTTTTTCTCATTCACACAGCCATGCACAAATAATATTCGTCGTATTATACAAGAATCGCATTAATCTTCATATAGGCACCAACAGAACAAACGAACCAATGCATGCTGTACTTGAAGGAGAACTTGGTGAAAGTGAGAAGGTGGAGGGAAGAGAAGCTCAGAATGTCAGAAATCATGCTTTAATACACTATCTTGCAACATTAGCAAACTCAAACAGCACCAAAGATAAATTTGATTTTGATTTCGTTGAGTCTCTTCTTCAAAACGGCGCAGATATCAACAGTACAGACAAAACTGGACAAACAATCTTTCATGAAATTGCTAGGTCATGGAACGTGGATGTCGCCAAATTCCTCATAACAAAAGGTAACAAACTTTCACATGCATCTCTGTAAATGGACTAGCACTGCTGACTGATTAGCATAAGCTCCGCCCCATTTACACTACGCTTAATTTAATAGAAAGGCACGGCTAAATTAAATGGTTACCTGTAACCAATTTCATCGGAACTGAGGCTACGAATACAAGTAGCAATTTTAGCCGTACAGTGCCAATAAATTGAGTGTAGTGCAAACGGAGCGTAAGGCGCCGCAATATTTTAGACAAGCAATTTTAAAAGAGATTTATGCAACCCATTACATTGATGCAGGTGCCAATGTGAACCAACAAGATCAGTATGGTAGGTCACCACTTCATGTTGCTGCCGCAGTCGATTACGCCGAAATGGTTGAATTTCTTCTACAAAATGGAGCCGATATTGACATCAAAACATCTGGTGAAGAACAGACTGCAATACATTTTGCTGCTAAAAATGATGCAGTAAACTCACTTCAGATGTTGTTAGGATATGGTGCAGACATAGACGCGCGAGACAGCAAAAATAGAACACCAATACAGGTATCGAATGTGTCTCCTAACAATTTTTACCCAATTCTGTTCTAATCTTCAATTTTGAACGAAATTACAGCATCAACCCGAACCGTTTATGAAAGCATATGAAGTTAACCAAGATTTACCTAGGATTTAGTTAAATGCTTTTACAGCAGGCCCTTGAAAATGTAAACTGTGAATATTTGGTATCTCTTAGGTGGCAGCAGAAATGAATCGCTCCAAAGCAGCAAAGCTTCTAATTAGTGAAGGTGCACCAGCTGGGGTTTATGATAACCTGGGTAATTCTGCTCTATGCCTTCTTATCGAGAAAATCCCCGAGGTAGCTCTCAAAGCAATGGATCAGTTTCATTCAGTGGACACAATCAATCGTAAGGAATTATATTTTCTCAACTATCTGGAAGGCACAAAGTTAAAAGAGAAGAAGACGCCTGCTAGAACTCCCCTCGAGATTGCTGTTCAGAATGAGAGATTTGACATCATCATGCATCCCGTCATGCAACGTCTCATTGCTGTAAAGTGGAAGATGTATGGCAAATGGGGCGCAGTCATGGACCTGGTGTTGAATCTCGTGTATACGATATTGTGGACAGTGCTTGCAGTGACCTTGCCATTATACGGTAGAGATCTGTATTTACCGATAGAAAGAAAATCCTGGAGACTAGTAATTGGCATTTTGCTAGTTGTTTTCACAGTATGGGAAATTAGAAAGCAAATAATAGGTAAGCATGCATGTAAAGTGAACTCGGCCATATTATATATACACTTACATCTGGAGGTAGATACAGGTTGTGAAGGAAGTCGAAACATGAAATTATATTCTAATTCTAATGTAGGAAAAATTGTTATGGTAAAACATCCAAACCTTCTTTGTTAGATACAATCAAAACCAGGCGAAGTTTAAAGAAATGGAAGGAATGGCGAGCTGCTGAATTAGAAAGGGATATCGCATATTGTCATCCAAGATGGCCTCAAGAAACACAATACCTACAATCCGAGATTAAAGCCGTCCGACACTTGTCACACATCTCGGGTGCGGATTGGTGGATATATTTTGACTGGGTCGCACTCGTGTTTATTCTGGCCACAATTGCATCCCATGTGACTTTCTTCCACTACAGTACCAATCTATCCAAAGACGTCCATCATTATATTATAATGGTATTACTGTTAATACTCTGGCTCAGAATCTTGAAATATGCCAGGCCTTTTGAGAGTGCTGGTCCTTTTGTAGTCATCTTTGGTCATGTTTTAGGTGACATCGTGAAGTGGGCCTTTTTAAACTCCATCATCGTCATTCCATTTACTTGCGCCTTCTGGATCACATTTGGGGCAATTTCACTGACACCTGTCCAGGGTTACGACAACGTTGGCCCCTTGTTATACAACATCTTCTCAATGATGGTTGTTAATGATCATAATTATGAAGTGCTGGAAGCGGCAAATCCAGTTATGGCGAGGCTGCTCTGTGGTGCTTTCATCGGTATTGCTGCGATAGTCACCCTAAATCTGCTCATTGCTTTACTTTCGAACACATTTGAGAGGTTGTACGAGAACGCAGTCGCCAACGCCGTGATGCAAAGAGCAAGAACCATACTCTTACTTCAAAAATCATTACGAAAAAAACAGAAAAAGAAATATTATGGTTTTATCAAGAAGAAAGGAAGCCCGGAAGTAATTCGAAATGGTCTAGGCCGATTATTATCCACTGATGGGGATGATAATGCGAGTCTTGAACAAATTCATGAAGATGTAGGGTAAGAAATTAAAAACCTTAATAGAAAAGAAATAAGCAATATAAATATCTCGTATGATGCAGAACACCAAATTTCTTCATCGTCGTAATGTTGATCTGATCCATTCATTTTAGATTTGTAATGAAGATCCTCGGGGAAAGATTTGGTAAAAAATATGGCAAAGGGAAGAAATCGGATATGGATTTTGTAAAAATGGATTTGAGCAAAGTAAGGCGATTTCAAGAGGAACTAGTAGTCGATGTTCGAAACATGAAACTTATGATAGAAGGAATAACTGCAACTGTGGAAATACTCAGCAGCAAGACTAGCGAAAACAAAGATGATGGTGAAAATAGTAAAGAAAGTCAGGGAAACAACAGTACAGGAAGCAACAGCAACCAGAATAACAACGTGTCGACCAGCAACGCTGCCACAGTAAAAAAAGTCCCCGTTCCTTTCAAAATGGTCGTTCACAAAGAAGTTCAACGATTAACGAAAAAAACAGAGGAGTCAGAGGAGAGCTCTGATGACTCAAGCAGCGAAACCACCAGTATTAGTAATAGTTCGCAAGCTTACAGTGAGAAAAATAACCGTAAAAGTAAAAGTAAAAGAAAACGCGACAAAAAGAGAGGTAGTCACAAGAAGAAAAGAGAAATGGAAAGTGATGATGATAAACAAGATAAAAAAGCTCAAAGATTACCGTACCCTGGTTCAGAAGTAACAAACTCTTTGCAACATTTCACACTAAACAATGATCTTTATGCCCCAAACGAAAGGTAAATTATTTTATATTCGTTCAATCATTCATGTAGTAATTTTGAACGTTGGTCTATATGGCACCTCTTTTTGCTAGCAAAAGAGAATAACTAGCTCAAACAACTAAGTTTGTTGAAATATTTCAATGGAGTCGTGGTAACCAGTTTCGTTCTATATTTTATGCTCTAGACTATCAACTTCAGCTAGTTATCCTGATTTCCGGGCGGTGAACGATCAGATTCCTCTAATCTCACAGGGGTACCACGTTACTTCCCCTTATCTCAGCACCAACCGACGAGTTTTCAACCCGACTGTAGATATCCATTCTCCTCCGCACAACAGTCTACAACTCGGACACGAAACAAGATTTTCTGCACAGAATCCACAAAGGGGAAACGGTTTCACAAATTATGGCTTCCAATCAGAAGTACAAGTTCCTAACTCACATCCAATGACTGAAACCGACCTCCAGTATTATCCAAATACATCACCGACATTACATGTACCTAATATCACATCAATACCAAGATCACAGAGCGACTCAAGAATATTTGATTTGCAACAATCTATCCAACACAATGACCATCCAGATATGTATCAACAACATCTATCCAACATGACAAATTTTCAGCCACATAATATTTCACACAAACAAGAACTTCCACACCCAAGTTCTTCTATGCAAGTCAATTTGATGAATTCTCCAGGCTTAAGTGGAATGAACCCTGATTTTACTTTTGAAAATCCTCAAATAAACGTGTCCAGAAATGCACAATCCTACGTTACAACACCGCCGCAAGCCTTCTACGACGGTCCAGACAACGTAAGTTCTATTTGACTGCTCGACATGCAATGCATTTTTCTACACGGAATCAGTCGTCATAAGACATAACTGAGCAGTAAAAAACAGTTCGTTACTGAATTGTGGAAAGTAATAGAAGTTTTCATCCTTATTAGGTTGATATTGATTATTACAAGGTAGGCTATATATAAACAACTTTCAAACGTTCTAATATTGGCCTCCTATGTATTAATTAAATTATTGTGTTTAAGAATGTGAATAAGAAAAGTCCAGGAAATGTAAAAAAGAAAAGTCCAGGTTTTAGAAATTTAGCCGTAGAAAATATGGGACATGACATAAAGTCCATGAAAATGCATTAATGTCTGATTCTCTTGTAAACCACCAATTTATGTTCTTTAATATTGGAATTGGATTTGTAATTTATGTTTGCCCTTGTTTCATAAATATCTATAGTAAACTACTGTATAATTATCAACACCTGATCAATCAATCAAATTTACACTCGTCAAATCTATATATAAATGTACGACATGTTTTTTCCTGCGACTACAATTAAAATCTTCTTGCACCGGTGTCCCCGAGAATGTTTTTAAATTCGTCAGACTCAGGCATATATAACTTCTACAGTGGCTTAGCGCCAAATGCATGCTGCGGATCCTAGCTCAAGGTTACAAAATGAATATAAATATATTGACACACAACGCTAGTCTAAAACAAAAGATGATGGTTTAAAAAAACCTTGAGCTTACCTGCTACATTATAGTCATCACTACACTTGCATGGGATTCTGCATCCATCCCGTTCTTTTAACTTGACTTCCACACTTATCTAGTTCTTTTTAATTTTCGCCTGCAAGTTGTTCGGAAAGGAAGTCTCAAACCTTGTTCATACATAAATAAAGTACGCTGACTGTTGGTCAAACACAGTTTAGGGAATGAACAGTGGATGACTTCACTACGCAACCCGGTGTCGTTAATCAGCCAGTTCGAAGTTCTGAGGCTGGAAAATACAGTTGATTGGCTGTCAATATACGTATAGCTGATGATCTTATATGACCATATAAGACAAAAATTGCGAGACAAAAAATTACCTACTTTAGTTGTCCTACTGTATTCTCGATAGTAAGAGCTTAATTCAGTTAATCAGGTGGTGTATATTCATATATTCGTCTTATGCACGACTGATTTCTTTTGTACCCTATTGTTCGTAACTTCCTATGATACAAAAATGTCCCCTCTATTGAAATCAAGCCTTTGTTAGAATCTGATTGCCTTAATATTATGGTAAACGCAATTGAAAGCAAGACACTTTATTTGAATGCCTCAACCTAATAACTATGCTATTTACACACTAAAAGCTTCATTTCAATAGGGGGCACTCTTTTTTGGGACACCCTGCATAAACATGAATAAATGAATATACACCCTCACCCCAATCAAGCAGTCGAGGGCGGTCCTGCTGTTGGTTATCCCTTTTTCTTTAATTTTCTTCGTCTCACAAGCCGTAAAAAGTTTCAGTTACAAAATCTGAAGATTTTTTATTTTTACTTCAAAAAACGAACAAATATGACATAATACAAAAAACAATAGGAAAACACATAAACAAAAAGTACAATAATCTAATCGATTGAACGAAAACATGAAAGAATACGGCCACACACCACTCAATTCAAACAATATCCATATAAAAGCCAAATAGGCAAATGCAACGAGACCAACTAATTTTATACCAGCTTTTCTACGTTTTGTTTCTTCTTTTACATTTGGAAAGTTTTTGCTGAAAACAATGATAGCAATTAAGACGAAAAAGAACGGTAAAGTATGCAGCATATGATTAAGAGATGATGGTATACCAGCTGTCTCGGGAAGAATCATTTCACGGTCAATGTAGAAAAACAACCAAAATAAACTTTGAGTAAATGAACTCATCACAAGAGCAAGATGAAGGAATAAGCCAAGGAAGTCCTCATTATTAACAGAGATATCCATTCGAGTTGAACCAAGGTCTCCATGCTTTCTTGCATATTCATTATATATTCTTCCAACATCATGAGCTGCTAAGGCGAGGAACACTATTAGATGAACTATGGTGGTCCAGACAGTGAAAAAGCTTGCCATTTCCAAAATTTTCAGACCAATTGTAAATGTTAACCAATGGATGACATACATATAGAAGATGGCACAACTTCCGTGAAATGTTAGAAACAAGATAGTTTTCATCTTCATTTGATATACACGTAATTGACGTAAATTGTATGGCTGAATAACAATGGCTAAAAGATTAATCATAAAAAGAAGTGTGAAATGTAAAAGAAGAAAATTCCTAAATATCTAAGAGCTACTACTGGGAAGATAGCTACTGCACGTGTGTCTTCAACAGGTGACAACTACATGTAGCTGCTTTGTTCAGTGTGAAAGGTAAATTTAAGAAATTGTGATAGTAGCACCATCCTAGAGCTAGGTCACCAGAAAGGTAAAAACCTAGCTTGACCATGGTGGAAATCAAATTAATGGTAATCTGCAACCTTGAGTCTTCTGAGCCATAGACTAGGCCAAGATAGTTCTAATATTTGATATTTGGAAGGATGAGATATAGCCATAAGCATGGTTTGTTTAACTATAATGTATGTTTGCCAACTACAGTCTACACTGCTTTTTGCTATTATGCATTGAGATGATTAGCATCAGCTGGCAAAGAATTTATATGTACTTCAATCCTGTAGAACAAAACATTGGGTAGACTCAACAGAGTTTTATATCTGTTCATTTTTAAGTTTGCAATTAGTACCTAAAGTTGAACTTGATCTTCACTACACAACTAACACAAGTTCTATTCAGGTATGTCATCAATATAAATCGTACCTTCTGGAACAAATCTATTCTTTTCATTAAGAATACTCAGTGATCAGCTATTTCAAATCAAACGTACTGATAAACTCTGATGTCTCAGTTGTCTGCTAAATCACCTTTTATATCGAACCTTATCGAACCACTTTAGCGTAATTAACATGGCGTAGTGCACAGACAGGAGGGGTATTGTGAGAGCGAAATTTCGCGAAAGAGGTTGTCTCGCAAAAAAATAGTAGGTTGATTATATTGCTTGATGAACGACGCTTGGACCATTTATGGTGTTATCAATGTTTAACAACTTGATAATAATATTGATTTAGGTTGTTGCTATTATCCTTCGACGTTTGAAACGGGCGTCTGACACTTAGCACTTAGCCTTAGTTCAACCTCGTTTGGTACAAGCCAGTCATTTTAGAAATATAACGTAAGAGGGTAACAGAGATAAAAACATTCATAATTGTTTATATTTAAACTCGGTGCCTTATAGCCAGTATCATATCTTTATCATTGGGATAAGCTGTGTTAACCTAGTTGCCTAAACGCTTATTACTACACTGGAGTCAGAGAGGTTATCAGTAAACATGTGAAAGGAAAATATCATCACGAAACGGATGACTATCTTTTAGTTTGATCCTCGCGAGCTGTGTGGTATTACGCATTATGAACAACGTTAAGATTTACTAAGACAGATCGCAGGTTCAACGACAAAAATGCGTTGTCTGTATCATTTAGTCTGAGAAGTTCGTGCATAACTGGAACAAGTTGAAAAGCTTCAAAATAACGTCGATTATTCCTATATATGATAAAGAAACTTGATTTAAATTGTATCCACCAAAAACATCAAAGAATACAGATATGCAATTGTAATATTTTAGCGTTCTCTACATGGACATGGTACTTATGGTACCCATGGTACTCAAAACGACTGAAGAATATTTATTTTCTATTCACAGTTGCCATGCAAGCACAGACCTGGGAACGGGGTCGAACTTTGTATAAACTGCAAGCATTATGAAGCATACGTCTTTCTTGTTAACTAACCTTATTTTAGAAAGTCGCTGTAAAATGATGCTAAGTTTTTCCACAATTTTGAGTTGCAGTCCTTTTTCTTGCAGGAGGTTGGTACAAACGTTGAAAAAATTGCTGGTACTGCAGCGAATTAGAAATTCAGTGACAACATCTAAAATGTAATTAACCTAGTGTTATTTTCATTATAAGAATAATATATGTATATAATTGTCACAGGTAAAACACGAGTGAATCGAACCTGATTCCATGGACATTTGCAAGGTAACATCAATGGCGGATTCCAAGAGAACCTACAATATAATAAGTTTTACTGGATGATGAGATCATCTAGAAAACGTTTACTCCTGTTCATAAACAAATATATATGTATTGGTGTCAGTATACTAACTAATTTATTACGGGAAACTATAATAAAAAGTCACTCTTCTCATGCACCGAACGTATTGAGAATAAAAGGTAATCAGTGCATGCATGGAGATGCCTCAGTATCTATCGTTTTTACGCATGAAGATCTTTGGCTCTGGCCCGCCATATTTGTCCGAAAAGGGCCTGCGGAGGAGGTAGCTCTAGCCTGATATATTACAAAAAAATAAAATTACTTACATTTTTTGGTTTCATAAAAGCCATGATAACATTAATTCCATTGTGGTTTATAAAGAGTCGTTTACCCTGTAGAAAAAATTTAGTTAATAGATAACTTTGTTTTCTGAATCAGAGTTTCACGGATGATCTTCAATCCGTATACGTACCTCTTGCTCCCTCAAGTCAGATTTTAGAACTTCAAATGTATGGGATAAGTAGTCAGCTGGAAACGTTAAAATGACATGCATTAGTAGTGTAGATAATTACAATCAGTTAATTATACTTGAAGTCTATGCGTAGTTAAATTGCAACAGTCAATGATTGTGAATTTACAACCTCTCTGTCTCTCAAAAATGGTATACAGAATATATGCACAATTACCTCGCGAAATTGTTTTTAAAATTATCAACGTAGAAAGCATTCTTTCATCCATATTCGGACTACGTATGTATATTTCATCAGTCATTTTACTTCTCCTCCCGTCAATCTTTCCTTCGCGATGTTTGATTGCCTTTAATAGATATTCTACACTTACAGACGTGTCAAAAAAGGCCTAAACGTTTTAGAATACAACGAACATCTTGCAATGCTAGGCTTTCCCCTCTAAAGTGTTTAGGCTTTAAGATTTAAGTTTAGGTTAGAAGGTTTATAATATATTTTAGGTTTAATATACAATCGAATTGCTTCTAGATTGTACATGAATTACATTATATTATACTGCTGCGCACTCGTTCAATGTATATACGCGTGTTTATGAATGCGCACGTTATTACCTCAGGTTTGTATAACTCTTCCCCCATTCTACGAAATGTAGACACGAGTACTGATTTCTGAGAAATGAAACAAAAAACATAGCAATCAACTTCACTACTCTTTAATCGCAAATTCTAAGCGCAAAGCCTTATTGTGGATGTAAAATTAATATAATTGATAATAGCTATTATGACAAGAACATTGGTTACCTGTGTTACATGAGGTGAGTGTTCCATATATAACATTACTGAATATACGAACTTTAACAATGGATGCATAACGTCCGGGTTAACAGTAGGGATATATGAGATAAGGTCTGCCAAAGGAGGCAAAATCTAGAAATAAATATAATTATGTGTCATGTTGAGCGTCGATTAGTGTTCGGAATTATATAACAATTTATTCCCGAGAGGTGAAAAAAATATCCTCCTTTTGCGCACCGAATTTTTCAGCAGGTGATTCGCTTTTGTAAGGTATTTATATTCAACTGTCTGTAATGGTAACAGCAGTGCAAATTTCCGGTAAAACGCTCAAGACTCAAGTTGTTCTTGGTTGATAAAAACAGGACTAAAAATGTTCTTGTGCAATGGTGTCTCTGTGGGGTGCATGCAGCATAACATTGTTTAGTCCTGTTTTTATTAACCAGGGACAAATTAAGCGCTTTTAGCCATGTACATACTGTACCAAGGGGAGTGAATCAAATATCACGTGAACGGGAGACGTGTACCAATACGGAGCCTTGTTTACATTTTTATGACGATACCTTGACACATTTGCCATAAGCAGCTTCGCTAGATTTAGCTTTTCCTCTTAGTTCAGTTTCCTCCGGTGAAACGTATTCCAATTCAGAATCAGATATCCATATTAGGAGACATGACAATACATCCAACACACCTGATACACGAAACTACATTTATATGCAAACTTGTTAGGACATTTCAACTTCATAGTAAATCCAATAGCAGTGTGGACCCTTTTGGCCTGAAGAGTAATTGTAGCTTAAAACGCGCAGATCACCAGTTTCATGGTTTAAAAAGGTATTTCCGTGTCGACACGTGTTAAGATTTTTAGATTGAAGGTGGTTATTTAGTGCAACTTGCATGCAGTACAACTTACATGCATGCATGTATGCAAGCAATAAACATGTACAAACATGCATGAATGCACGAGTGATTATTTTAAAGATTACCTAAAATAGCGCGAATTCGAATGCATTCGAAACTGAACTATTATTTTACCTTTGAGTTAGATGGAGCCTTGAAGCTATCTACATTAGAGAAAAAAGAAGACATGCATTGGTTTAGAATGTTTCTGATTTTGCAAGAGAAGTAAATGAAAACCTAAGGAAATGTTGAATTACCAACGTTGTCACGTTTTGTCGTCAAGACCGCATGTTCATTGAATTTTTCATTTTTTTCAGCTTCTTCCTTCTTTGCCTGATATTCATTTTTACGCTGAAAAAAAGATAACACAAATTCCGATTGTTGCTCTTTCAAACTGTTAAGAAGCTACACAGAAGTATTAAAATAGGTCTTTCGTATATTCTCTCTCCTAGCTGCGAGTGACTTGGCTCAAAATGCCATGGCTAGATTAATTGCAAGCACTTGGGGAGATGGGTGGATAGGAGCCATCAAACTTCAACTATAACAAAGCTATCAGTATACCTACCAAAAGGTTGTTTAGCCTTTGTTGTAAACTTAATGTTTGACTTTCCAAAAGCCTATTTTGGTCTTGCATTTCTATAAACTATTCAGTTAAAAAATGCACACGAAGTGTTAATTAACAAATAAATGAAAAATTACAACTGAAGAAAAATTAAAGCAAAACTGTGTACCAGTAAAATTATGCCATAAATCGTGCAGGGAAATGCCCTACTCTGAAACATATAATTATTATAACATACTGCACTCACTTGCTTCCGTAAATCATCATGAGTGGTTCTTATAGTATTGAAAGAATCACGAAGGCGGTTAGCTTCCTTTGATTTCTCGTGTATAACCTTCTGCAGTTCATTTACCTGACCTTGATATTCCTGAAATGTAGTATTTTTTGTGGAAAATGTTCTCTGCGATATCACAGATGGCAAGACTGTACTAAATAAGTATGTACGTAAATCAAGAGTAAAAGCAGCTTCAAATTTTATGTGGAAGACGGGTCTTAACTGTGATGCATTTGAAAAAGCATATTTGTTTTACTCGTGTTGAAATATCGTAGCCTCGTTGCATGTTTAATAAACGCATGAACTTGACAGATATGTCTAACTTATCCCTAGTTCAAGCCAAACAGGCTGTGAACGACTTGTCCTTGAGAAGTATTTAGCCTTAGCGCTGCATGTTAATGCTTGAGAGGACTTATGTATGGAGTATTGCCATCCAAATCAAACGTGCAGGAATTGTGATACCGTAATTCATAGCCTAGGAATCTTTGCCAGTGTAGGGGAAGAAACTCATAGACATAGTCATAATCAGATTAAATACGATTTGAACAACCATTTATGTAATGTAAGAGGAAACATTATTATTGAATGAGAAGGTAAGTAAATTAGAGAATAAGGATAATCTGTTTCCAAATTAAATAACCTGATCGATAATAGTACATTGCCTCTGTATTTCCTCCTCCAAAGTTTCACTAACAAATTCTTGCTGGGTATTGGTGATGTATTCACGATCATTTAACATGGCTTCTCTTTCCTGTAATTCTTCTTCCCATACTTGAAGTGCATGTGTTTCCTCCTACGAAGTTAAGGATGATCAAAGGTGATTTACCATTAGTAAAAGCCTAAAATGTAATTTGAAAAATAGTACATACTTTTAATTTTTTACTTATTTGACGCAATTCTTCATAAATATCTTGTAACTCAAATTCATTCAGTCTAGTCTTTCTCTACAAGATTAAAGAGGATCTGTGTATACAACATATGTACAGTATGTTTTTTGACTGTTTACTAATGTTGGTTGAAGCATGTGTCTCAAAGTAAAGTTTAGTCATCTACAGTATACAAATAAGTATGGTTTGTTTGACTATATTTACTATAGCAGTATATCATTCTCTATATTTATAAGGGTATACTGTATATAATAGATGTAGCCATTATATCATATGTGAACAAAATTTCAAATGAAATAAGTCGCTCAAACATGGAAAAATTGGCAGCAAATATAATTTTCATTCCGACATATAAAATCTGTGGTAATGCAGATAAATTTATTATTATATTACCGTCTGCCTTCTTCTAATATCCAATGTTTCCTCTCCAAAGTCATGTTTTGAAGAATAGGGACTTGGTGGAGATTGCTTTCCTTAAAAAAACGTTTTACGCTGACAACCCTAAGACACTTTATATATAATAATGATAGTCTTTGGGAGCATTGGAAGTCACACAGATGACAGGCTGTTCATTGCAAAGAGATTTCTATTCATACTCAATAATTCTATTGCCTGTTTTCTGAAAGTCATTAAGCACTTAAGAGCATAAAAGTAATTTTTTCACACGAGGGAGAGCTTGATTTTGAATTTTTAACCTAAAATCTTCCCATTAAGAAAAGACTCTTTTATTGATGAGCAAAAATGTCTATGTCACATTCAATTAGAATGAGTGCGAGTAAGCTGTTGGAATACAGGCATATGACATACGTACTTTCAAAGCTATCATCTCTGTCAGAGCCAGAATCTGTATTTAGTTGTTGTGTTCGTGATTTTACAGCAATGTATATTTTGTCCAATGCTTTTTTATAATGCTCCTTTTCATGATTGGTCATTGTATCACTAGACCAATGAGTTAGGTGCGATGACGGTTGGACTAATGAAGCATTCTCATTATTAGAAGAGATCGACATAGGCTTGGGTGCACTTTGATTGGGCACTTTGGCATGCCTAGAAACTTCATGCATTAAAAAAGTCATTATAGAAACCACAAAAAGAGACCAATACTGGATAGTTCTTCACATAGCTTAATATCATGATAAGTAGTAGACTACATTTTTATTATCTAATGCCAAATTTGCATCTTTTAACACATCAAGGGCATGGGGGTGCCCTGTCGCAACTCCTGTGTGAGGGAACAATCACCCTACATATAGCTATGAAACATTTTTAATAAACTTCATTCTGAGATTACCTTACCATTGTGACTGCTGTTTGATGTTCCTGCACTGTTTGTATAATATTCAAAATAGGCCTAAGAGTAGATAGAAAAAATATATACAGTAGGAGGCAAAAGTTTGAGTCCAGTGACTGTATTTCATTGTTTTAGCAGCATATATTAATATCCTACAGAAAACCTTACCGATAAGTGAACTAGAAAAAAGTAAATAAGTAAACAGAAAAATACATGCTGTACAACAACTATGAGATGTTATGATATTCATTTTTACGTATTTTAATGTGCAAACATGCATTTACATGTCATTGCTTAGTTCCCTCTTTTTGCTCTTGAAATGACCTTTATTCTTGCTCGCATAGATTCCATAGGTTTTTTAATGTCACACGTTCAATACCTTGCCAGCATTCGTTGACCACTTGCCTCAAGTCAGCCTGGCTGGCGGGTCTGTGCCTCGCCCTCTTCCGGTTAAAACGGTTCTACAAGTGCTCCATAGGTTTTAGATCTGGAATATGAGGTGGAAAGCCATGACAACGAGATCACCAGAATGAGTTTGCTTCTAAAAGATTTCTGGCACATAGAAGATGTGCATGTGCTTAGGGTGATTATCATGTAGTTAGACGTGCGATCATCTTTGTACCAGATGAAATTCCATGTCCTTGAAGAATTGGATGATACTTTTCTTTAATTAGGATCCTATTATATCTTTCAATATTGCCAAACCGAGCATGACCAAACCAGCTAAAAGTTTGCTTGAGTAGGATTTAGTTTCTTCGAACCGTCCAAGGTTAGTTGCATACAACCTTTTTAAATTCTCACTTTTTCTGCGACCTTACGAGGAAAGAATCCTTCAATACTTAATGCAACTATTTGTCCTTGTGCACCATCACTTTGCCCTTTTTCCCACCCATCTTGGGCAGTGTAAAGGAATGAGAACTTTATTTTGTTATAATTTAGATCATTAGGACCAAAACAGTGTGCAATTAATATAGTTTACAGTACTGAAACACTAGCACGCATGTCTTAACTCGAATACGCTGCCAGGATTTAATACTGGAATTCTACAACGACTGGACTCAAACTTTTGCCTCCTACTGTATATCAACAGTGTTTGTATAATAAGACCTGACTACTGTAGGTTCCTGTTTAACTTTTATCAATCATCAGTATGAGCTATATAGTCTTATACTCTTCTGAAATAGATATAAGTTCGAATATGAGCATCCAATCTCGCATGCAATGATCATTTGATCATCAAACATGAAATCCAGAATCAATCAAGAATCAATCATTAATGAATTCTGAAATACCTTATCAAAATACGGCGTTTCTTTTACATTTCCCGGTGAACCTGAACGCTGCATTTGGATTTACGTAATAAACTTGTTTCGATTATTCAGCATTTATTGACTACACTCTGTTGTAAATTCAGTTAGAATTCAGTGTTGACATTTGATTTGATTTCTGAAAAAACAAAGTTGTGCGCCAAACATTCACACTTCAGCCATAGGGAGCCCAAAATAGTTGCAGGAGAATTAAGATTTGAAAGGCGTGAAAATTATTGTATTTACTGCATAAATTATAGAAAGTGGATATTGCCTAGCCTCCGCCACAGGCCTCTCTAGCTTTTTTTTGGGGCTTCCCTTGGGGTTGCGCTGGCTTTCCCTGGGATTGCCCCAAAGAAAGCTAGAGAGGCCTGTGGAGGGGGCTAGATATTGCCATTAGCTTAAAATTCTGGTATATGTAAAAACATACTAGTGTGGTTCATATTTGACTTTACCATTACCGTCTCGATCAAGGGCATATGCTGTGATAATAGCTCGCAGAATACGTTTGATCCATCCGCAGTGGCTGGGACGCAGGATACGCATCCATCTGTCGTCCGTTATCTGGGCCTATGGCTAAAAGTTGCCCTTATGTCAAAACGTCGACAGATTTTGATATTTAAGGCAACTGCCGAACCACATTCGGTCACAAGTTTTCCAAAAAAGACAAGCATCTGTCACGCTTTTTTATCATCGTATAAATATACTCATCACTGTTTCACGTTCGTTTCGGATGATAACCAATGCCAGTGTCAGTGGAAATGGCACGAAACGGGAGATAGCATTAGTTCAAATTCAATTTGAGTAGACGTCAAATTAATCTCGTTTGTATATTTAAAAATACTCTATAAATTACATTATGGAAACAATATATTTATTTCTTAAACACAAAAATCCCCTAACTCTTTCCTTGATATGAAATAGTTGAGATTATGAACTTAATTGGACTTGGACGACAAAAATGTATATACATGATATTTTCCACCGGCTGTATGTAAGTTCCATTGAATGGCAAGGAAATGGCTAAGAAAATGACGAAATTAACAGTCCATGTCTATGCAATCATTCTGAAGTTGCATGGAAACAACAAGATATTTTCAATCATCTGTGAAGGAAAACTCCGATTTAAATTTAGGTTCATATTTTTACTTTAGTTTAAATGCATAATATATATATATATAGTATTCTACTTTTATTGTAGTATATATTTGTTTAAAAGCACCGAAGCTTGATATTCCTGACATTTCCACGCGACAATATATATTTTTATGTACAAAGAACATAACGAATATTAGCCGTAACCCCGGGTTAAATTCAACCGTCTGGGTTGATTTATGTCTTGTGTCTTCGTTTAAAAACTTCAAAATCCGTACTTATATAATTTCAACCAGTGCACGTGCGTTAACCCAGGGTTATGCTAACCAGCTTTTAAAATGTTAAATCTAGTACGGTTGAGGTGACACACAAAAAGGTCGCTATCGTCTCGAAGGTGTTTTAAATTGTTTGTATTCTTTTTAAAAGTAAAAGCACTCACTTCACGTACTAGATAAAACATTAGGAAGTTGAAGCAAGCTATGTTTTTTACAACCAGTAGACGTTACCTATACATCAGTAACACAGATCCTCTTTCAGTCTTCATGGCGCTCGCGTTGTCAAAAGCGTTTTAGCTTAAATCTCTTTTGTATATTATGTAGTTCGCCAGTGTCAATATTTCTCACGATCTTTTCCATGATTTGAACACCGCTCAGACATGAACGTCTTCATCGAAATCGTCGAGACCATCGCGTGCAGCCAACTGAACGAGGGACGACGAAGGTCGTGAATGTGGTAAGTACATAGAAGAAGGTCTTGATTGGGATGGTGATACCATGGGAGTCACTACTTCGGATGTCAGGGGAGAGAGGGAAGGAGATCTCGTAACCAGCGGAGTAATAGCCGGGGTGAAGTTTGGCGTCATGGGTAGAGACGAATACGTAGACTCTGGACCTATATGTTGATTATGTAGAGATGATACTGATGATAACATACTTGTACGAGCCGAGATATCATTGATACCGTTCAAAGTGGAACCAAGGTCTTTACTTGGTAAACGTCCAATTTCAGAAAATACTTCTGACAGCGGCTGATATTGAGGACCTTGGTTCATAGCGTAGAAATAGTTATAATGTCCTCGTAGTTCTTCGTGACTACCAAGAATTGAACTTAAAGAGCCGGTATAGTCAGGTCTTCCTTCAAAATTAAACACTCGAGGGCGGTCCACATTCTGGTCATCCTCTTCTGCGTCAGCCTCAGCACATTTTGCATACAGCAAATTTCCAACATCCAGACCGGCACTCGCCTCCCTTCCACCTTCATCATCAAACTCGTGAAGTGATTCTATACTCTGAAGATGAACCATAATACGGTCAGTTCTATCTGAGCGAACATCAAATGATCTTGCATCGCTGTTTTCAACATCCGAGTCGGGTGAAATTTCAACTTCGGAGTCGGGGTGTATACCAGAGTCAGAAATTTTGGAACCTACGTGTGTGCTTATTTGTGAATTATGCAAATCCTTGTGTTCATAAATTGGATCAAAGGATCCATTCCCTGAGCTTCCGGAATCCAAAGAGTTGGACGCACTAGTTGGAACATGTTGATATCTATTTATCACACCATTTTCATCAACGGAGTTAATACTTGTTTGCATACAGGGCATTGATCTAAGAACCATTTCCTCACCAGGTTTCTTTGTTTCTGTCCCTTCCTTCCGTTTGCATCTCACAAACACGAAGATGATTAACGCCAGCAAAACTAGACCAGCCACAATGCTTATTGAAATGACAATTGTATGAATAGGAACAGGATCGGTTTGATTTTCATCCACACGGGGGGATGGAGAGGCAGTATAATTTAAAAATACTGTTGCTGTAACTGTACTGATTTTCGAACCCGGTTGACCGCTACCAGCCTTGATTATTAAATTGTATGAATTCTGAGGCTTGGAATTTTCTGTATCTCGTTTTCCTCTCGTGCTTTCGCGTTCAAAGAAATCGACAACGTTCTCATTAAGATATATATCACCTGAAGTTGTGTTGATCATAAACAGGTTGACCGGTGAAACAAGATCGTATTGTATTTCTCCATCTGGACCACTATCTTCATCTGTTGCCCGAATATGACCCACTATATCGCCTTTCTCTGCGTTGCCAGGAACAACAAATTCATAACTTGTGTTTAAGAATTTTGGTTCGAATTCATCCACACCAATAATAGGCACGGTGACAATCAGACTGCTGTGTTGAGGAGGTGTACCATAGTCTTGTGCTTTCACGGTTAGAGTATAACTTGATATGTCTTCGTAATCAAAGCTTATAGCAGTGGTGAGGTTACCTGTACTTCGATTAATATTAAATTTATGTAAACCACTGCCGTCAATTATCGAGAAAAAGATGGTTTGATTTGCTCCAGAATCAGAGTCCGAAGCTTTAATTGTACCAGCAAAAGTTCCACTGACGGAGTTTTCAGCTACGCCAAGATTCCTTGGTTGCCCAAAGACTGGTGGATTATCATTAATGTCGTTGACTTTTATAACCACAGAGATATCTGTTGATAGTGGTGGTTTCCCTTTAAAAACAAAAAATGAATTGAAGAAAAAGATGGCATCACAAAATCAAGTTCTGTCTGACCAAAGGGTTGATTACTTAAATATAGTTTTTATCTTCCGTGATTGAAATTTGCCCTAACTTTTTACTAGTACTTCTTGATAATTCTTCATATCATGTTCGACCACATTCAATAATTGTTAAATTATATATCATATAATTGTCACTATATCTGTATATATCATATGTAACTACATCAAAAGTCATTCTGATTATAGATATGTAATCATGGTCACAAGGCACCTTAATTCGTAAGCAACAATGTATTGTAGAAATGAAGAATTGTTTACCTTGATCTGAAGCTGTTACAGAAAGTCGGTGAATTGGGATGACATCACGATCCACGGATTTGACCAATTCCAATTTATTTCCAGCCATTCTGAACCACCCACCGTTATTTCCAGAACTGATTGAATATGTGATGTCTTTGTTACGTCCGCTGTCCCTATCTATTGCAGAAACAGTTAGCACAGTGCGGGGTGGAGTGACATCCTCAGCTATAGTCTCTTTGTACATTGAATCGTTAAAATACTTATTTCGAATAAATACCGGAGCATTGTCATTCACATCATCAATCTTAATGATGACTTTTATGCGATCGGATGAATCAAATTTTTCATATTCAGCTATCACGATTAGATTGTATATAGATGTATGTTCGTGGTCCAACTGTCTTCTGACACGAATGATCCCACTTCTTTCTTCAATTCGAAACATTTTCAGTTCATCTCCACTATGTATTTCAAACGAGATTCTTTTTTTGCCGTGTAAAGAATCCGAATTTAAAGGTTTTATTCTCACCACTTCAGTCCCAATTTCTATATTTTCTGGTATTGTTTTTTGGTAGGGAGCTTCGCCAAACTGAGGTTTAGTGTTGCGATCCCAAATTTGTAGACGGAATGGAACTCGAGAGGAGAGTTGGGGCGACCCATGATCAGTGGCAGTGATGATTAAATCAATGAAATTATTGATATAGGTAAATGTCGTTTTCGTGAAGACTATCCCAACGTTTGGATCTATCCCTATCTTGTCATTAAAGGTGATGTTGTACGTAATTCTCTTATTGTCGCCTTCGTCTTCATCTGTCGCATTGATTCGAGCCAAACGTGTGCTTGCGGAGATTGGCTCTTGACGTTTAACACTGTAGGATATCTTTTCAAAAACAGGTTTATGATCGTTCTCATCCAAGATAGTAACAAAAACGTCAGTGCTCGCTTCATGCTTCTGGTCACTGGCAACAACAGTAAAACTGTACAAATTAGGCTTTGACTCAAAATCCACATGATCAACCAAGCGCAGAATCCCAGTGTAACGATCAATAACAAAAGGCCCATTTCGTTCCTTTTTTCCGAGAAAGCTATATGTAATTGTTGCAAATTCATCTTTGTCCGTAGCATTCACCTGTCCAACATGGCATCCTAAGGGACTGTTCTCGAATAGTGTAAAGTTAATACTACTGGGTAGTTCTGGGGAATTGTTATTGATGTCGGTAATAAAAACAAGTACTGTACATTTCGACGATAATGCACCAGTGCTAACACTAGCTGTCAGATTATAGGATTTTTTCTCCTCGCGAAGGACAGCTTTTTGAAGAAACAATTCTCCAGTTGACGGATTTAGTGAAAAAACATTTTCTTTGTCGGCGGATAATATCGAAAACACCATTCGCAAATTACTAAAATTAAACGCATACAGCTTGGTCACAAATCTATTGTCTGATTGAGCAACACTTTCCGAGATACTTGATATGAACACTCTTTGTCTAAATACCGGAGCTTTATCGTTGAGATTCCGTAGAGATAAGTACACTTTCGTGAAAGCAATATTAGTAATCCTTATTCCCCAATCACCTTTAATGTCTAATTCAAAACTACGAGACCTTTCGTAGTCCAGGGCGTTAGAATCCTTTATAGTAATTTCGCCGTTGCTATTGATTTTAAACGCATCATGTTCATTTCCGTTGACGATTTGATAGGACACATTTCCTGGAGTGTGAGGTTTCACAGTCACAATAGGAACATTAGTTTGAAGATTCTCATTTAAAGTTGCACTATAAGACGAGCTGGAAAATCTTGGATATTGATTTTTTCCCAGAACTGTAACACGTACAAAACACACCGCCGTCATTCTTCGATCATGCACCAAAGTTGCTCTGACACTAAGTAAATATGCACCAGGGAATGGATTTTTTGTAAAGCTCACATTTCCTTTTGTGCGACCAACAGCTAAAACCTTTTGTCCACCTTCAACAAAAAACTCAACATCACCTGATTTGAGGTAATTATTCTTTAGTGTAAGTTGCAATATTTCTACACCAGCTTTAATTTGGCTTTCACGATCAACTTCGTACAAAACTTCAGTGAAACGAAGAGGAATCCCAGTTGCATGATCAACAAAAACGTTCACGTTAACTGAACCAAAACGCGCTCCGGATTTACTCCCGTCAGATGCATTTACAACAAAGTTGTACGTATCAACTTCGCTGGCATTTAAATAGTTCACAGTATAAATCAAACCGCTTGTGGCATCCAAGCCAAATGGTATTTGTTCTTCGCTGTTAAAGCTATACGTTATTGCTGTGTTGGAGGCTTCGTCGTCGTCTGTTGCAGTCAAAGTTATAACTTCTGCCCCGGGATGACTGCCACCTGGGAGGGTGACATTTACAACATTGGGGGGATTAAATTTAGGGTTGTTGTCATTGTCGTCCAGGACAGTGACAAAAACGTTAACTCTTGTTAAGCGGGAAGAATTGCCTTGGTCTTGTACTTTAATGGTTAGGTTATGTACGGGACAGATTTCGCGATCAAGTGGTGTTACAGTCGATATTGCACCGCTGTTTTCATTAATCTCAAAATATCCAACATTATCCTCCCTCTCGATGCTGTAATTTAATCGAGCGTTCATTTCTGTGTCGGCATCGTCCGCGATTATTGAGAAAACGTACCCAGCTGGACTATTCTCAGGCACTTCAACTTTAAAGAGGTTTTGTAATACCTCAGGATCATTGTCATTCTTATCTGTAACATTGATTATCACAGCTGCACTTTCAGTATGCAATGGATAACCGTTATCCTGAACGTACACAGTTAGTTCGTACAGCTGTTGCTTCTCTCGATCCAAAGGTGAAATTGTTGATATTTGACCAGTAAATTCATTTATAATGAATAGATCATCCACAAAACCAGGTGGCAGACTATAAGTCAACGTGCCACTGTCCCGATCAGTAGCTTTGACTGTTAAAACATTGGCAGAGTTTTCATTTTCTGGTACACTTGCTCTGTAGTTGTAATTTAGGAATTGTGGTTGATTATCGTTGACATCTTCGACAGAAAGCGTGAAAGTTACGGTTGAAGATAAAGGGGGAGAACCATGGTCTGAGGCCTCAATCTTTAATTTATAGGTGTCGACTTTTTCTCGATCAATAGTTTTCTTTAGAATCAAGGAGCCCCATGTCGGATCCAAATAGAATGTCCCATGTTCATTACCTTCAACTAGTCTAAACGTTACTCTACCAGCTTCACCCAGGTCTTTATCTTCAGCAATGAAAAATGATGCTGTAAAATTCACCGGCTCATCTTCCATTATAAAAGAACTATTTGGGGTCGTGAAAACGGGACGAAAGTCATTTACGTCCATGACCTCTATTTCCACGCTCACAGTGTTGGATTTTTGCTGAAGAACGTCGCCAGCCTGGTCCAAAGCTTTGACAACCAGGACATATTTCCCCACATTTTCTCTGTCTAATTCTTTATCGGTGGTTATCTGCGCTGTAAATGGATGTATGTTAAAAGCAGCCTTAGGCGATTGTTTCGTAATGGAGTATACAATTCTACTATTTATTCCTGAATCCTTATCCGTAGCAAGAACAGGTTTACCAACTTTCGTTCCAACCGGTTCATTCTCAAAGACACGTCTTTTTGTTGGATTTTCATGGAATATAGGACCATTATCGTTTGAATCAAGAATATTGATGTACAGTCTCAGGATACTTTTCTTGGGATTATCACGAGCTTTATCTGAGGCCTTGATTCGAATACTATACTGTTTAGTATGTTCATAATCAAGAGTTTTGTTCAAAATAACATCTCCAGTTTTTTCGTTAATCTTAAAGACTTGCTCCCCAGACTCTTTGACAATGGAGTATATTATATTACCATTCTCGTCTATATCTTGATCTGTTGCATTGGTTTGATAAACTACAGTCCCCACGGGCGTTTTCTCTGATATGTAGATAGTGTCATTCTTTACCTTAAATTCAGGTTTGTGGTCATTCACATCAAGAACAGTAACAAATACCCGACATATGGAATCTTTAAGAGGGTTGCCTTTGTCATTTGCTACTACACTCAAAACGAAGAAATCCTTAATTTCCCTGTCAAGAGATGCAACAATATATATGAATCCAGTTGTCTTGTTAATTTGAAACATTTCCACTCCGCCCTGAGTATTTCCGGTCGAAAGGAGATAGATGACCTCGCCATTTTTTCCCTCATCAATATCCACAGCTTTGACCTGGGCTACCTTTGTTCCTTTTTGAACATTCTCTGAAACAGAAGCCCTATACGCAGATTTAGTAAATTTTGGATGGTTGTCATTTATGTCCTGGACGTGAATACGAACAGTTTCTCTTCGACTTTGCCGTGGATTTCCGTTGTCTGAAGCTTGTACCTGTACATAGTGTATTGACATTTTTTCTCTATCAAGCCTAACAATGTTGTGCATCTTTCCAGTTTTTGAATTAATTGCAAAATAGTCAGTGGAATTAACCAAACTATATTCTATTTCCGAGTTTTTACCAAGATCGCCATCCTTAGCTTTAATCTTGCCAATCATTGTCCCTGGAATTTCCTCTTCTGTTGTGAAAAATGATAATCTATTTGTGAATACAGGTATCTCATCGTTGACATCTTGGACATAAACTGTCAGTGTCACAGGCTGGGGAGGAGTCTTGAACGGTACTCCCCGATCCCCATACATTATATTAACTTCATGCTTATCCTTTTTCTCTCTATCCAGTGGAGATTTTAGTGTCAAATTACCATTCATTTGTACCTCAAAGAGATTTGACTCAGTTGAATCATGTGAAATTTGATACCAAACTTGACCATTTTTTCCACTATCCTTATCCACGGCATGAAATGTATATATCACTGTATTGACTGGGAAGTTCTCACTTACATTTACACTTGAATTATGTAGAACTGGAAAATTATCATTGATATCAATAACACAAATATTAACCTTTAACAATGACCACAAGGCAGGTTTTCCGGCATCCGATGCATTTAAAGTGAGCTGATACAACTGTTTTTGCTCATAATCAACACCTGTATTCAGGGATAAATTGCCAGTCTCAGGGTTAAGGTTGAACACAGATCTTAGCCCAGACTCAATACTATATGTGACTTTACCATTTAAGCCGCTGTCTTGATCTGAGGCTTCAAAATTATGGAAGTTGACTCCAACAGGCATATCCTCATTCAGGGCAATACAATGACTGTTGTAATGCCATACTGGAAAATTGTCATTAATATCCAGTATTGTTACAGTAACATTAACATAACCAAACAATGATGGAGTACCATGATCTTGTGCTTCTACCAAGAACTCATACTTTGATTGAATTTCATGATCCAGTTTGGTTTTTGTTAATATTGAGCCAGAGCCATTGATATGAAAATGTTTCTGAGCATTTAAAGTCTTGATAGAATAACTAATTACTCCACCAAAACCTTCATCATGGCTGTTTGCCAGAACAGTACCAACATAATTCATTTTACTGCCATTCTCTTTAACATGAAAACTATACTCATTCTTGTTGAATACAGGAGGGTCATCATTGACATCTTTAACCAGGACATTGACAGTTGCCAATGTTTCTGATGTCAAACCACCATTATCGATAGCACGAAATTTTAGCACATATTTGTCCACCTTTTCCCTGTCTAAACTGTTCTGTAGACTTATTTGACCAGTGCTTTTATCCAGTTCAAATGTGCCACCATCATTTCCAGAGATGAATTCATAAGAGATTTGTGCATTCCAACCAATGTCACGATCCTTTGCCTTCAGTCTATGGATGTCTATGCCAACAGAAATATTCTCATAAACAGGAACACTGTAGGAGGTCCCTTCAAAGAATGGACGGTTATCATTAACATCATCAACAATAACTGTTATCATTGCTATACTCTCTAGATCATCCTCATCACGAGCAATTGCACTAAAATTATACACATCACGCTCTTCCCGATCAAGTTGAATAACTGTAGTTATATTTCCAGTGATATTGTTTATATTAAAGGCTGTGCTATTAGGATGACTGAGCAAAAACGATATATGCCCTCTTGAAGTGAGGTCAACATCTGATGCATTGACTGTGCCAACAAATGTTCCTGGATGTGAGTTTTCAGGAACTGTCATCACATAATATGACTTGGAGAACTTTGGAGCATTATCATTGTAATCAATAATATTGAGAATGACTGTACAGTTTGCTGTAAATTTACCATCAAATGCTTGAATAACAAGAGTAGCTTTGTCAGACTTTTCATGATCAATTTGTGAAGTTACATGAATAGCACCAGATGTCGAATTTATACCAAACCATGTGGGATAGGTTGCCACCAAAATATGATATGTTATATTTGAAGCAGAGACTGTATCTCTATCTGTTGCATTAGCTGTGAGAACAAAACTGCCAGGTTGTGCAGACTCTGTAATATCATGAGTGTATACACTCTGTACAAATTTTGGGGGATTGTCATTAACATCACGAACCACTAATGTTGCAGCTTTTCTAATAGACTGAGATGGTTTACCATTATCTTTTGCAGTCACAATTATCTGGTAGCTCTTTACCTTTTCATAATCCAATGCTGTTCTCAAAGTCACAAAGTAAAGGCCTTGTGAAAATTGAGCTATTGAAAATACATCCATAGGAGACAAACTCACATTTAATTTTCCATTTTGCCCAGAATCCTTGTCACGAATTTCAACTTTTGCCACATGTGAGTCAATTCTCGCATCTTCAAAAACATCAAAGAACTTAAATAAAAGGATTTTCGGCTTATTATCATTTTCATCCCGCACATTAACTGTAATGTCTGCCCTGCTCGTTTTTGGATTGGTCCCTTTATCAGTTGCAATAACCTGCAATTTGTAGATCTTCTTTGTTTCATAGTCTAAATTATAATGTGTAGAAATATATCCAATACGGTTTTTTTGTTGTATGCTGAAGTATCTATCTTTATCATACTGGGAATCATAATTCATACTGTAAATCACTTCAGCATTTTCCCCACCATCACAATCAGAAGTTGTAATATTAAGAACAACAGTTTTTGGCTTGATGCTTTCTGATACATCTGCTACATAATTTTGTCTTGAAAATTTTGGTGGACAATCATTATAGTCTAGAACATTGACAATCAATGACATAAAACCTATTTTCCTGGGAGACCCAGAGTCTGATGCTGAAAGATTCAAATTGTACTCTCTCACAGAACTCCAATTGAGTTTTTTGGCAAGTTCCAGTGAAACTGCATAAAAGCTGTGATGTTTCTTGAGAGAAATCTTGAATACACCACCCAGATTGCCAGACACAATTCTTACACTGTCATTGTGTATACTATTAACACCAATATCTTTATCAGTAACTTGCAAGCCAAGGTTGAAAATGTGACCAACAGGATATCGTTCTGAAATGTCAACTGTTTTATTCCGATATGAAAACGTAGGAAATTCATCATTGATATCATTTACTTCGATATTTACTTGGATGCTACCACGACTTTTTTTAATGACAGTAAAATTATAAAAGGCTTGTTTTTCCCTGTCTAGCGTATTACTAGACTTAACAACTCCGGTAATAAAACTGAAATCAAAATTCTTGGGTGTCGGAAAAACAAGTACAATAGCCGTATTGAGATTGCCAACAAATTCACCAGGAGGTTGCCCTTCGCTAATAAAGAACGTTCTTGTTGTTGTTGAAGCCACGGTAAGATCCAAAAATATCAAAACCAGACAACAAGCAGTAATGCTCCCAATGTCCCCCATAACCAATTTCATGGCTGGCGATGTTTTTTTTATTCATAAACAATCGTAGAAATGAAATATCCAACGAGCCTTGTAGACATACACTCAAAATCGTCCCATTATGAAAACATTGAAGAACAAACGTTGCTTCTACACTGTTTTATCAACTCTGACACTGGGTAGTTACCAAAGGATTATTTACACAAGACACGACATGGACGTTGGATGAAAATAATTTGGGTATGAAATACCCGAAACATCGTATTTCCTTGACGTTAAGCCACTCCGATTGACTGTTCCGTATAATGCCGAATATAGTTCTTTTAAAAATCCTCAAAATCTCCCACGAAACTAGAATAAAATTGTCAAATCACAACAAAACATGAGTATATTTGAAATACAACACAGTGTAATGTTTGCACGATCACGTGATCACTGTTGAGCAGGAAATAAAAGAATAATTTTAGAGTGCAACAAAGACTAGCTTGAGGGGGTTGACTGTCAATTGCCTAACATTACTCAGACTGCTTTTGCCTTTCCATTTCCCACGAATTTTATACATATAGTAATAATATTAGTGCATTTTTTCAATGAATTTTGGCCCTTGTTGTTACAATTCGGGGGTTTTTACATGAGAAGACGTCACGACGTATCAAATGTCCGACAAAACGACACAAAACTGGCAGCGATTGACCCCTCAAGGTACTAGTTTCCTGTCGCGGTCTTTGAACATGATCACCACTTGAAAAAACGAGCTTAATTTTAGTAGCTTTATATTCTCGTTATTATATAAGTGCTCCTTGTTTTCATGATTTATTACAGTGATGCTTAAATGCCAGTACTGGCGGTAATACTTATAGAATATACGGAATTCCGCGTCAAAAAAATAAACGAAGTCAAGGACAAAGGGGCCCAGTTGGGACCGAGAATGCTCGGTATTACACCATACAAATATATATTTAATAACAATAAGACATCCTGTTGTTATCCATAGTGCAGTTTATTACACTTTGACATATTCAAATTGTTTCAATAATACCGCTTGTGCGTGTTTGCTAAAAGTATTTCAAATGAAGAAAAATGGCGCCGTGAAAATGCTAGAAACAAACACAGTTTGTTAGGATCCATTATTGCATTAACTTTGAGCTGATTATATTTGTATTTTGCTGAATATTTATTATACAATTTGCAACCATGGCTGTGAAGTTAATGCGATTTAATATACCAGAGTCGGGTCGCTAATTAGTATTATGTTAATACAAGTTGTGGTCTTGCTTTCCTATTGAGTTTGCTCGTGTGGGTACAATTTTGTAGAATGCTTGGTATTACAAATATATATAATAGCAGAAAGTACCCTGTGGCTATCCATTGCTATAGGCACAGGGAAGTTTATTATTTTACATTCTGACATATACTCAGAATGTTACTGTTTCAATGCGTTTTGTCCTTGTAAGCTTGTTTGATGAAACTATGGCTCTATGCTGAGTGGCGCATTTTACCGTAAAATGCTGTCCTAAGCCAAGGCAAAGTAACACGATTTTAACTTCTAGACTTCAACTTCTGCCAAATATTTGATACTTTCGGTATTTGCTTAGTCTTAGAAGAGGCCAAACAAAGGCAATGCCAATAGTGAATAGAATCGCAGTATACAATTTTGGTACTGGTAGTGGTAGTACGACGTTTTGTAAAACTATCAATATCAATACTTATTGTCAAAATATTAAAATATTGAGACATGGTACCCCCCGCCCTCGTTACTATATTTAATGTCGTATTCACAGCATTGACAGTGTGTTTCATCAGTTGGAGACAAATATAAGCTACTTTCTAATTTAAAACGGATTTATTCTTTCTCCAGTAGCAAGCGGCGAGAATGGATTGACTTTCGCCCACATGATCGCATTATTTAAAGACATAACCGATTCACCATCTTCTAAAATAAACACTGGGCCCTAAAAAAAGAATTATATGTGTGAAAGTTCATCGATATTTTCGATATTTTATAAATCAGTACCTAAAACAACCTCGTACCCAGAGTCTTTACTCGTGGGGAGAAAATATTGGTTGTACTTAAAACAGCTCAAAATTCAGTTTAACTAAAAAGGCGATTTTAAACAAGTTTCGTACTTTGAGGTTTTCAATATATCGCTATAGGTATTTGACAAGTTTTTATTTGTTTTTTTTTTCGTTGACTATATCTTAAGGCCCGCTTTGCGCACAATATTTGCTACGTACAGCGTATACCGTAAAAAATAGAAAATAGGTACGATCGGTGACGTCATTATGACGTCAGTGCAATGAGAATATCTATATAAAATATGCATGATAATTGCGAGATTACCACCATGCATGTTAATTATACCTATATTAGTCTGAAGGCTCTTTCTCATTTATTCCAACAACCAACTCGCAAGTTGGCTACTAGGGGGTGAAAAAGATCCTAAAGTCCAAATATATATATCCTGTTCATGCCGTTGACCTCTTACTGTAAGGTGTCGTGGGAGAGAGCGAGATTTAGTAATCCCATTAATTAAAGAAGCCTTCAAACATTAAGTGTACTATAGTTTGGATACTCCAAAGCAATTTCATATACATTGATCTAGACTAATTGGATGGTTATTTAGAAATTTAAAAAATATTAAGATCTCACCTTGATTTGTTCTCCGGTCAGAATGGAAGGCTTTGTGTTTGAATTTTGGGGAAGATGAGAACCAGCCACAATGTCTGTTCCACATTCAAGATCACTCTTACAAACACCTAAGAAAGAGAAAATAATTGAAATACTGAATAGTACATGACGTCTTCTCATGAAAATAATTGAAATACTGGACTTACCGTCTTCATAACTTGTAAAAAGTGGGCAAACATACCTATTCGTCTATTCATATTACTCCATGTTCTCTTCAATTCCTCTGTATCTTTGGAGTTCTCTTGTTCAATACTATACAAAAAGATCGATATTTAGCGTTGTTGTACAGCTCTAGTATAACCAGCTTACATGGGTATACATAAAAGTGAATACTTTATAACCATACTCGTGATACAGCCATGCTTTACTTTCATTTTCAATCTGAACTCCAGTAACAGGAAGATTAACTTTTTCCTTATTTATTAAAAACCTAAAGAAAAACAAAGAAAGTGCACAATTGTAATATATACATCGCTAAGAGGCTGGGCGCCCTGCTGTTTGAAGCCTGTTTAGGATTGGACCCTCGTTCGGAATGTCAGTTATCTAAATAATTTGAAGACACACCTTGCGTGATTGAAGAGTAACATGACAATTGGTTTGTATTTTCGCTGTATTGCTACCAATGCTCCAATATAAGCACTGAGTACAATAAGTTCGTGCTTTTGCCTGTAACGAAGTTTTGTACACACCGTGACCTGATGATATATCGACATATAACAAGCTCTGAGGATACTCTGTAACATGCAGCATGGCCACATAGAAAGTTGCTTATGGCTATAGAGTATATACCTAGACATTTTGGAACTTTGTAGTTTTTCAGTCCGAACACAAGACAACAGTTTGAGAATATCACAAACATTTTTAAGGTTCCAGTATTCTTTCAACATTATATCTGAGAATACAAAAAAAAATTAAAAGTGAAGTGAGTTTTATCATTACATAAAATTTATGATTAAAATTTTTTGTATTTAAATTCTTCTAATCAATAAAATTTCAATACAAGTAAATAATACTACAACATCAAAATTTTAAAAAAAATTTAAAAATGCTCATTAATTCTGACCTCTTATCAGATTTAAGCCAATATCCAAAGATATCTCTGGGGTTGTCGATATAAGATAGTATTTTAGTGCTTCGTGGTACTTTTGTTCAGCAAGTAATTCTTCAGCTTTTTGAAAACATTCAGAAAGTGAAGGAATACCAGCCTAGATTCAAACATAGAGGAAAGTCACGTTTGCATGAATGGTTACTACGCAGGCGATTAACAAGAGGAAGGACTTACTTTATATGCTTACATATATTTAATATTTTGATTTCATGGAGTAACGTTACCATATTGTGAGAAATGTGAATGAAATATAACCCAAAACTGACATACCATTCGGTGAACGTTTTCAATAACAGCTGTCGGACTTGGACAACGAGCACATAACATCCACAACTCATCTTGACAACCATCCACGATATTCAGTAAATCAACGGACAAATTCCTAAAGGATAATACATAACTCTTGGTTCAAGAGATTCTGACTCTCTATTTCAAAAACCATCTACATATAATTGAAATCTAAGGATGACTACCATAAAATATCTTAATTTTGTACCCAACATGTAAACAACGCACGCTCAGTCGCTCACGAACTCTATCCTTACGGCAAAGTACTTTCCGGTTCGTGGTTGACCTTCTACTACATGTGGCAGTGATGACCCGCGATATTATCGGCACTCTGTTCTTAAGTATATACAGAGTATGAAAGTGGGATATAATAACCATACTTGTAATAAAGTACTCAAGAAACCGACGATATTGACTGGGTTATCTAAAACATACAAATTACTGTTTGACCCTTATAAAATATTTGACATTACCATCTTCCAAGCTTTTCACATCTTTTTGATAAATAGCAGACAGGTATTTGTAGTAGTTCACCTTGAACGTCCAAAACACGAGCTACTGTAAACGCCAGCTCCAACTCATTTCCGCGAAGAAGTTTACGTAATGCACTCTATATAAAAATATGCAGTTTACAATGCGTTGTTATACATTATTCAAGTACATTCAGTTATTGCTCACAGAGCTGGGAGTGACTGTTTAGGGCTTGTGTTTATATGAAAGGCGCGAAAATCTAGACATTCTGAAAACAAATTTGCCGATTAGTTCAAAACAAGATTCTTCCTGGTTTTTGCATCCAATAAAAAAGCCAACACTTGCAGGGAAGAACTAACTCATTTCGATTACCGAGTCTCGATTTTGAGTTGACCCGTGACTATTTGAAACTACCACCATGAATTTGAGTTGATCACCAAATGAAACAATTGAAATAGTACTATCCAACTTGACAGTTAAAAAGAATACATATACAGTATCAGAACCCACCGAAATATCATTGACTGCGAGATGACAGCAGGCCGCAATAACTGGCTGACTGTTTTCGAAATACCAATCAGCCAAGAGAGACGATGACTCCATTAATAGTCTATAAAATCACAGAATAAAAAATAGCTATAACTGTGATTAATCAGTAATATCTCCAATGCATGATATTATAGCGGACTAAAGTGAATTTGAATCATGAAATTCTAGGTCGAAAAAAATTGGTTTCGTATACACTAAATCATTTGTCGAAACCTCGACGTTTTAAGACTCCTCTACTGAGGTCTGATGGCATTCTTGGAAGTAACACAAGGGGCTCCACAGACTTCACAGGGTTTAAGAATCCTTACATAAAGGGCCATTTTCTGTAAAGATGTCGAATGCTAGGGTAATTCATACTGTGACTTACTTATTTTGCCTTTCATGAGGTACTTCGTTGACGCGATTCTCTTTTACATCATTACGTTTTAGGTCAAACCGTTTGCAGTCATTACTCTTTCTATTGTTCATGCTGAGGTCTTTCGTCGCAAGAGAGACCAGCACGGCTTCTTGAAATTCACCTCGTTCTTTATAGAACTCACAAAGCTATAAAATTTTATACACATATAACTGAATCTCAAGTCATGGGGCAATATTACATAACAGCGATACTTGAGTTTGATCTCACATGGAGAAATAATCACAGAGCGTCAGTACATGTCCATGACACTGGTCCTGAGTCGTGGTACTGCGCTGAATGCCATGCCATGATTCAAAGTGGTTACTGCAGAGATCCAGTACCTTTTGGACATTTCCAATTGCCAAACAATAGGGGATCGCTATATCATTTCCCTCATTGACCAGTTGATTTGCACGTCTAAACGAACACCAAAAATGCCTTAAAAATTCTCATTGTACTTTATATATTGATTGAATGAGCTAATATTTTCAAAACAGGGCCCAAGGCACTGCATGTTAACACTATGCATGCAGCCTAATGCACCGGTCTTGGAAAACATCAACATTCCTAAATAACGGAATTTATACCAATCGTTTGCCGTTGAAGCTACGCATATACCTTTCCATAAGTGACTTCCAATAATCCAAAGAAACACCAGGAGCAAACGAGAGTGCTTTGTCCCACTGATATAAAACATTCAATAAGAGTAATTGCTTTAAAATTATTTTACGGAGTGAAGGTCCGTTTATGCATTTTTTGCTGCGATTTTCTACTTTTAATAAACAGGGCATCAGGGCATTTTTAACTGCCCATGCACTCATATCTATCAGATGTAGAAAATCGCACCGAGAATCGTGGGAAAAATTGCAAGTTTAAACAGGCCGTAGGGTGTCTTCATTACTTCATTCATACATAGTATTGTACATAGTATAAGTTGGGTGAGGGACGATTTTCAACTCTCTTAAAATTTGATTTTTAAGTTTTTAAAAATGAACACAATCTGATGGATTTATTTGCTTGATATTCAATTTGCTCGATATTCAATTTTCTGGATTCGAATTACCTCACCCATTTCCACCATAAGTTCACAATATCTTTGCATGTGTCCAATCTTTACATGAATATTCGCTGCAGCTTTTAATTTATCATTTTTCTTTCGAGATCCACTGAAACCTGACATTTTCACAGTTTCAAGTTCCTGTGCTTCAGACTAAAATAGAGGCACGACAGTAAATCATACGATATCGTGCCCCGTGCAAGTAAAATTGAATATTGCATTCAGCAGAACGAGAAATCGCATATTCTATAGTATATAGTCAAAGCACGCGTGCATGCTTTCGTCTGCATGGGTTGTATATTATAAAAAAATTATTGTAGACAAGTATTACTATATATTACCCTCATGCAGTATAGTTGTAATCTGCAATAAGTCATGTCTACCTATACTGGGTTGGTAAGCTTAAGTTGGTAATCTTTTCTGCAGGTTACCTGGTTTTTCCCCTCCATCAACTTTTAGCAACTATACCTATACAGTCAGGAAGTAATTGCACGGCTGCTGTGGACTCCTGCATGCTACAGACACTTCCCGAATTTGTTCTGGGGCAATAAATACCATCCCACTAACAATAGAATACATTGCCCACCTCGTTTCCAAGCTATTGTTTTGTGTGCACTCAAGCAAACTCGGGAAGTGTCTATTTGGACGGGCTAGTAAACATAGACTTACGTATTTTATTTGTAGCAAATGTTTGATGTGGATAATCCCTTTGCTATAGGAACGTGAAAGAAGGGTCATATCTTCCCCAGATAGCACCGCAATGAGATCCCAGAGGTTGCGCGTTCCACGTGGTGTCTTGCGGGAAAAACAAGAAGAAAAAAACAAGATGAACCTTGAGAAGTTTACAACATAGCTACAATACTTGAGAAGTTTACAATATAGCTAGATAGGTTGGTATCAGTGTCCGCGGTTCTTTTTTTTCTAGTTTTATAACATCTTGGCAATTGCATGAAAAGCGACTCGAATAAATAAACGAATATAACATGAAGCTGTGTAAATAAAAGGGAAAAATTAAAAAATGGCACAGCTTACCGAAAACAACTGTGATGTATTTTTGTACAGGGAAATAAATGGTGAGCTTTCCTTGAAGAGTCCGGAAAATTGAATTTCTTTCGAATGCTGGCCTGCGAGCAAAGGCACGTTTTCTGACTTTAAGGCATCATCTATACAATTTTAAAAAATATAAAAACACTTCTTAATTCCCTTAATTGAATCGATATAGTGTCAGTCATAGTGTCAATCGTAGCTAGCTACATGTGATTTTTCGTACATGTGTCCGTTTCCAGAGTTCAGCTAGGGTCACACTGCTTGACCCATCATTGTAAATCAAGCAAAAGATACTTCATGATGGCCGTTGTTCCGACCACTTAGGCCAGTGAATATAAATAATATACATACTCCAAACGAATCGTTGAAATTTACATTCAAGATAATAAATTGTGACATTTCAAGTACCTGTGTCATTGTGTATGACAACAAGTAGATCTATATGTATGCATGATATATTTACTGCAAGTTGCATACCAATATTCTTTGCAAATATCTCATCGCTTGGTCGTTGGGCAAGGATTGATAATGAGATGGGATGAGCCAATGTTGCCATAGACCACAGCCGCACAGTTGAGTCACGTGATGTTGATGCAACCATAAACGGTCGGTGGGGGTGGCATGCTAGTCCTGGTAACATGAACAGATTTAGCTTATTTCGTTTCACTTTCTTCAGCGTAACACAAGTAAAAACTTTGAGCAAAGGACGCAATAAACTAATGAGTACGTTGTAAGTAAATTTGGCCTAAGTAAATTTGGCCTAGAAACTAAATGCATACGAAGAATTTATTAGACTTGTGATTTACTTTGCAAAAATTAAAATGAAAGGATAAAATGCATGTAGGCCTTCCGCGAGTCAACATAAGCTTTACCTTACAGAAGTAAAAGATTGCAAAGATAAAACTGAAGTAACAACAGCGTATCACTTGTAATTCAGTTGTGAAAAAAAGTAAAAGAAGTATCTCTCACCGTAAACGTCAGCTCCATGATTAAACACAGTTTCAAGACAAGACAATGTTCTAAGGGGCGGAAGAAAATGTCAATTACTACCATGATTAGGGGCAACTTTTATTTATGTAATACACAGTCCTTTCGTTGCAACGTTTATGTAATACAGAGTAGTTTGTTGGCCAACCTTAGAGAAAAATATGTACACCCACACACAGGGTGGAAGAGAGGTGGGGTAAATGAGGGTAAATGAGGTAGGAGAAAAGTAGAACAAAGAGGAGAAAAAGATATAAAGCTGATATGGAAAGGTGTGCAGGGAAACCAAAAAGGGGGGATATGACAAATGAAATATTAATAAGTGCAATATTTTGTATAAGAAGTATCATACCTTGTGTCCCAGACTTTGATACTATAGTCCCAGCTACCAGAAAGTAAAATATAAGGTATTTCAGGATTCCATAATAAACCTCGCACTGGACCAGTATGACCTTCTAAAACACCAGCACAGTCATCCTATCAAAACGAGAGAACTTCATAAGGAATATTCTTTGATGTATTACGTCATTCAAATTTTGATGTAAATAGTGACATGGTGGCTTGAACGTTAATTCGTATGCAACATAAAGCCTGAAGGACAGTGAAACGTTGCAAAATATAAAATTTAATCTTAAGTGGAATCCCGAAATCAGTTAACAATTACACTGATTTGAATAATGAACGAAGGTGAAAGCCAGTTTAGAAAAAAGATTTACAAAACTAATGAAAGTCCTCGAAACAAAGTAACTTTCAATGTTGTTGGGTCTTTCAAGAAAACGTATATCCACAACTATTCTTAAAATCAATTCTCGGTCTTTAAGATGGCATTTCCAGGTAAGGTTTATAGAGAAAATAAATTTAAATAAACGCTTAACAGAACTATTAAAAATCCACCAAAAAGAGCATCTTTTAACTGTTGTGTCCACTAAGGAAATTACACATCCACACCTATTTCCGAAATAAACTGGCGTGAGAAAGTATATTATCATATATCATATGAAAATACCATCGTATTTCAGAACAGAAATAGCTTGAACTGACGTTTAAACATTTCCTTGAAAACTTTTAAGCATTAAGAATGGCTTTTAATAGCTGTGAAAAAACATTTAAAGTGATATCATATTAAAGGTGAAGACAATCTGCAAGCATGACATCTGCATAATTATGCGTTCAACGATCCTCCCATCTCATATTGCCATGGCATATTGTTCAAACCTCATGTTATAAGTGCATGAGGAGGTTCCCAGGTTGCTAGTCAGCAGTAAAATATGCGGATAAAGATTCTTTTTTAATAAAAAATTTTCCTGTATATCCATGCAAACAGTTATATATAGGCTGCAATCTTTGGGCAAGACACATGAATACAAGATGCCACGAACATTACTGCTTTTGCTTTTTAATTTGATATTTCTGAATAAACCTGGTCTTGTTCTATCGCAAAATTGCCGCACAAATGCAGATTGTTCCAGCAAATATTTCACCAAAGTTTGCTGTGAAGGATTACCCCATGATACACAAAAAACTTGTCGATTCCTCAACTGCGTTGGACGTCACTGTTTAACAAATGCTGATTGCGGCGGAAAAAACGAATGCTGCAATAAAAAGCTTCATATATGTATGAACTTTGGCTGCAACGTCAATGAATGCAACCTAAATGCCAACTGCCCTGTGTTTCAATATTGCTGCAAACGAAGATACATCAACGACGTCCAACGTGTGTGTAGACGAAGTTGTATTGGGGAAACATGTCTATTCGATAGCGACTGCGGAGCACCAGGAGAGCGTTGTAACAAGATTAATCACAGATGTACAATTTTACCAAAATTAAAAAACGTTCCAAGATCAGAAAATTCAGAAAAGACAGCAAATTCAGCAAGCCTTGCTGGCTGGGCGATCGGACTAATCGTTACAGGTATAAAAAGATAACTATATTGAGCGGACCTGATATGGCGCAAAACAATAATTTTATTTTTATATTGAATACTAATTAGTGTCATAAAATGGCAGTCAGAAACGAATCGATACATCAGCATTACGTTTCCTGCCAATTTATAACGTCTGTATAATTTACTTTGTTGTTTTGTAGTTGCTATCCTGGTGGTGATCGCAATCGGTGGTATTTGGGTATTTTTTCGTTGTAGAAAGAAACCATCACAGCAAGGTGTGGTATTAAAACAACCTACACAAACAGTCCCAAATGGTACGTCAAGCTCTGCTGCAGTATTACCAACAGCACCACCTCTACCCACAATACCAAAACCTAAAGTGTCAAATCGTTCTGGCGTTTCCTTAATAAACGCGGGCCTGGATTTTCTACAACCTCAATTGGAAGACGCCCTGTCACCAGAGTCTATCGTTTCTTCTATTCAACCCCTGGATTGCATCGGCCTGGCGGATTTTAGTGCAGGTTTAGGAATGTAGTCGTGTCATGCATAGTCAATATAAAAACATTTAACATGAGAAATTAAATATTTCCAGCTTAAATTCTGTATGCATGAGTACCAATAATTTTTTAAATTCTCTACATGAGTACCAACAAACGTTCTCACATTCTTCTTTCAATTCCTTTCAATCTTAAACAGCAAATTTCTGCAGAAAAAGGTTTTTTATAGTAGAATAACAACATATAGATTTTAGGTGTGAAGAGGAAAAAACTTATGTCCAACAGTGTTATGCAATATTCATATTCTGTAGTGGGGTGTTGATACCTCAAAATATAAGCCATCAAATCGATATCAAAATTCCAACCTGGTGAAGGGCAATTGAATTGGCTTCATATATAGATGGATGCCTTTTGCGTGTAAACTTAATTCTTGTCTAAACGAATTCCGGCGCAATTATTTAAAAAAAACACTCAAAAACCTTTCAAGTATATAAGAGATAAAGAGTTATCTTATATAAGCCAATATATAAACAACTACCGTATCACATGATTTTGAACATCCTAAATACTAAAACATATAATATCCTTTATCCCTGGGATTTCCCGTCTCTAAGATTTGACCAACCCTTTTAGACAAATACTTAAATTTGTACGGGATATTCGTCAGTCCTGTAGCTTCAGTGTAGTTTCGGAACTTTAGTCTTTTTTATTACAACCAATTCATCACATGCAGTGCATGCCGACAGTTAAAGTTGTCTTTCACATTTATGAGAAAGTTTCACATTGACTTTATTCAGAAATTACGATAGAAATATGCAATTTTTAAACCTGACAAAGGCAGCGGAGTATATAGTGATTAAATTAAATGATTATACTTAAATGAAACCAAATTCACTAGTTTATTCAAAACGAAATTATATTTTAGAAATTAAATTTTTAAAAATGTTTACTTCTTACGAGATTTCTATTGTGGTACATGTCATTAATATTTGGTTTACCGGTTTCATTGCGAAACTACAATGCATAGTTAGTATAATAAAACATGCATGGTTGATAAGCGCCTATATAGGAGATATTTCGTTGGTAGACGTTCAAATAACATATATAGCTCGGTATACGGTTTCGAACACACAATATCCTCCCCCCCTCCTCATTCATCCTAATTAATAGAACTTACCAAAAATCAAAAGGAAAACACAGTACAGAAAATGGACGAAAGAGAAGCCAGTTTGGAAAATGAACACTATGACGCATTTCCCGTGGTATATCTATATATATATATATGCTATTTGCATTGGCTAAAGAAAGCTAACAACAGTTTTTCGGAATGTTATAGGGCTAGAAACGTATATTCAGATATCCCATGCACTCATTTTTGAAAGAATAAAAAAGAAACACAATGAACACAACAGTTTTACTAACGTATAAACAACGTTGTGTGAAATTATACTTGAAATAAATAAAAAAAGCTTGGAAAACATGCCTACCTCAGAATAATCCCATATACGTACAGTTCTAGAAAACCAAAAAAAGGTATAAAGTGAAAAGGCAAATATATAGTGTGACGCAAAATAATGCATACATGCAGCAAGCAAGTGGCCAAGGCTCGTGAGTTCAAATGAGACACAAAAATATAAAGTGAATACTCACGTATCGTCTGAACCACTACAGAGAAAACCTTCCCTGAGAGGGGACCAACGAACATGAAACGCTTTCGCAGTATGACCTACAACATATCAGAAATCACAACTTGGTCTAATGTCCCCGAATATTATACTAGAATTAGGCAAATTTAATCTCGTGCATGAGCTTTATTTCTAGCTGTAACAACACTTTCGTCTTGTATAAAACTTGAAGTTCATTAATGAAAACACATGAATATAGTCTCGACGTTCTGTTTTACAGAATCGCAGCACTATTCATCAATTCTGTTTTACATCAACAATTTCTCTTGAGGAGAAGATATAACAGTCTTGCACGACTTATGTATAATTACAAATTTTATAACTTCCGATAACAAATATTCCAAAGTTTTTACCTTTGAATGTTCGCAAGGGTTGATCGGTTCCTGCTGCAATGTAGAAAATTCGGATGCATTTATCCTCACAACTTGTCGCTATCATATCCCTATATAAGGCGAATAAGTTGAAAATCAGAAATTAGCTAAGGCAAGACAGCTGATGCTGTGTTACTCACGCAGTGTTTCTTAGAAGTTAGTGAGATGAACATTTGACTTCAACTCAACCACCAAAAGTTACCGTTACGACTAATTAATTTTACAAAATACAAAACATGCAGTTTATAAACATCACGAATTCTTGCATCATGATGATGACTGCAAGTTAGACGAAGACTACGGCAAATTGATTGCACCCAGCAACACGCGAGTGCATGGAATATTAACCTGTTGTTTGGGCTCCAGTCACAACCATATACTGCTCGAGGGTGTTTATATTTCTGCACCAATTTACCATCAATATTTCGAACTATGCTAACAAAGAATAAATATAACCTGTATATTAGTATTATCGAACGAAACCACAGACATAGCTACGTGTGAAATGAAAATACACAGAAGTGTGAAATTTAGTGTGAAACAGCTAATACCATAATCCCCCACCACATGTGCTGGCAAGAAGTTGAGAATCTTTACGGTTCCAGGCGACAGAATACACTGGAGAACTGCCGTGCTAAATTGAAGAAAGGTTTCTAAATGAACCGCGTGGTTAAATGTAGCCATTAAATACAAAGATGCCTAAGATGGAGATGGCATATACCCGCACTGTTTTGAATACTGTACGAGTCAATGATCCCAAAAAACGACAGTCTACATAGGGAATGTCTCACTACACAGGTAGAGGATTATTTTCAACGATCAAAAATTTATCAACCCATTTCAATCAGGTTTGCCGTTTGCTAGAGACTATATAGTCAATAAAATACGATAACAAAGAATTTACCTCCAAATATCTGCTGACAACTCTCGAATGAGTCACATCCCACACAAATATTCCCTTCTTGCCAGTTCCACAAGCAATGCAATTTAAGTTGCCTGCATGTCAACAAAAATACTTCGCTATAATATAGTAATGTGCTCATCTATGTATGCAAGATATGAACAAAGTTTACTACAATAGTAGCTAGGTCTAATCAGATCATATTAGAATGGGCAGAAATTGTAAAAATAAACTATATGATGAAGAGGCTCTTTAGCACACCTGGTGACCATGACAATGAATATATAATTCCTTCATTACCAGACGAGGAATTTACCTAAAAAGCAAAGTTGATACACTAAAAAACACGATATAATTCAACCTACCGATTTCATGATTTTATTACGAATAAACGAAGAAATTTATAACCTCGAACCCGAGACACGAAACAAATGAGGTTAGCAATCCTCAGTTTCAATCATTATCATCTTTTATTTTTCCATGTACCAATTTATTATAATAACGAACAGGGGCACATTTATTTTTGCAAAAAAGGCGGTTCTATATACGTTGATAAGATAAGGCAGATAAAAGCATCTTTAAAAACCTACAACATCCATGGTCGTTACATCCCAAAGTTTTACAGTTCCATCAAACGAAGCTGTAGCCAATATGTCACAATTTTCAGGTTGAAATTCACAACAGAATATCGTTTCAGTATGACCCTGCAATTTAAAGGCAAATGAAATTAAAACTAAAACGTTTAGTTTTCAGTATGCTACCTGACTTAAACTCTTCCCTTTTGTAACCCAGGGAATGCTTATTCGAGCTGCATACTGATGAATTTTCCTATCTCTGAACTTAGTTTAAAAGGAGGTTGATCCATTAATTAACGAGTGACTTGAATAATCATACGGATGAATAAATTTATACGCTGTTCCGACGCAAATGTAAAATGTTCAGCCTCAAACAACGATTGTAGTACCATCACTGCTTTTAACAAGACAAGTGATACGAAACAATTTTATTTCTTATTAATGACATTCATGTCACTTCATATCAATTTTTTAATTCTGAAAAGAAACTCGTTACAGTAACACCTCCCTAATCCTTGCGTGCTGTTATCCGTCACTGTACAAAACTAAATTAAACGAAAGGACACGAATCTTAGAGAAATGTTGGGTTTTTTACTCTTACCATTTGTCGCAAAAAACTCCATTTCCTTTTATCCAAGTTATACAGTCCTACCCCTCCATCGATGAATGTACACAGAATATCAGCAGGTGGTAAAACAAAGGAATCTGAATTAGGAGCACTAGGAGGATCATGCGCAACAGATGTCGAGGAAATGTGAGAATTCCATGAATTAGACTCAGATTTTGTAGGTGGCTTGATTCTTGGAACCAAGCGTATGGTGTGAAATCCAGTTTTTTTTAAAATAATATTTTCCACGGGAGTTTTCCTTGAAACGTTCCATACTCTTAGAACTCCACTTTGGGCATCTTGAAAAAAAATACCTAGCTTGAGTGAATAGCTTTTATCCTAAAGTTTAACTTAAAATTACCCTAATTCACTGGCAAGTATCAATAACCTTAATAGCGAGAGTTATTTAGAGATGGCATTAGAGCGAAGAAGTCTAAATTTCTAAACAAGATTTTATCTCTATTAGGGCTTCAAATTTCTTGTATGACCACGATTCTGAACCAGAGGCCAGTTGTGCTAGTGTTAAAGGATAATCTCTTTTATACAGCCAGCCGTATTATGAGGTCTCAATGCAGCCAGCCGGAGTAAATCCAGGTTCACCAGGAATTACTGGGTTGGAATACGGATCGTAAGTGATAAAATGGAATAACAGGTTCAGCGTATATGGCGTATATCTTACCTCCCGATACAAACATCCCAGGTCCAGAGGGAACCCAAACCACGGAATTAACACGCGAAACTGCACTAGGGGACTGAAATTTCATAATCACAAACATATTTTCTGTATCAATTAACCTTATTCCATGATTTAAATTTGTTACAAGTAAATAATCCGAAGATAAACTATCCCATTGAAGACTAATTACTGGATCATCTTCCGTTGCGCCTTCTTCGGATTCTGGTTTAAGATTATGTCGATCAATTTTCTCTTGTGTCCAAAGAATACTGATACTTCCATCAACATGTCCAAATGCCAATTTACGAGAATGTTTATAATTCCAGGAAAAATGGGAAACATCAGAGAGAAAAATCGTCGCTTCTACCGCTCTGGTTCGCCCGTCTGACTCTTCAGCATCTAACAATTGAAGTGGCCCACGTCCACATATAAAACCAAATGTTGATGCCTCTGTAGGATGCCAGCCTAATGAGGCTGGAATTGCACCTTTTAAATTTGTGAAAGATGCAACTAGTTTTTGCGTTCTAACATTCCAAACACAAATCCTTGGGTCAACACTAGCACTGAGAATCAAGTCATTGTCAAAAGGATGCCAGGCTATTGTTGTAATAGTTTTTCGATGCTCCGACATTATACATTCCAATTTATATTCGTTATATTTTGCATGGTACTAGACAAATAGATATTTGTTGCATATGTTAAATAACAGGACCCTACACAGAGGGGGGGGGGGGGGCAACAGGGGCAGTTGCCCTCCCCTTGAGAAAACTAAACTTATGATCTTCATTTTATAGCCTTAAAGCACTAAAGTTATTAGTGTTTCACTGGCCGTATGATCACCCCCACTCTATGGCTGCGTACAGCCCTCCATACATTATAGTTCACACCACAGTGTGTCTGGACACTGCAGAGAAAACCAACAGCGACAAGTTTAACTTTAGGATTTAAATTTAGAGCATAGAATATACAGTATGTGCGCTTTGTTCACATCTTTCAAATGCAGTGGCTGCAATTTAGGTAGCATTGATCAGTGCTGCCTATGTCACTGTTCAAATGTTGGGTCTAACTTTAATATACGAACCTCGTATTTTTTAATTTTTTGTGGGTTGTAAGTTGAGTATAAAAATTGTTTTGATAGTCAATAGAACATTTGTAGATGTGAAGATGGTTTCAAGACTTAATTTGTATTATCAATGTGTGATACTATTTTTTCCTTGTTTGACAAGATAAAATGATCACTTACACAAATTTTTTAAGCATCACGCTAGCTTGCTATCAACCTGAAGCTGGATTCTATTAAAACTGGTTAGCTGGGCTTCCATCTTTTATGTAATGCAAAACAGCCCACATAGCTGGCCAATTTTTGTTCAGGAAAATTATAAAGGCTGTTCATATATGAATATAGCATAGTTATAATGATCAGACTAGCTAAGTTAACTGATGCACATAGGCTGGCAATTAAACTGGGATGAGTTAAATTGGTCCATACAGGTTTGTAAGGTGACTATAATGGTAATCTCTGGTAGCCTGGTCCAGTTGAACATGCTACAGTAGTGCTTAACATTATTCTACCTGTATTTCAAGAAAGATCTGAATCAGTTTTTAATTGCTGGGCCTGTGAGTAATCTGTAATACTAATTGCTTAGCAACAAGATAAACTAATATTTTATACAATTTGGTGAGCATTTTGGCAAGAATATGTGCACAAAGACTTAAATTCTAATTTTGAAGAGAAAATCATAACCTTAATTTGTTACAGGATGGAACGATAATCCCTATTTGTATGCAAACTTAGCTTTTCTCTAGTGAATGTTATTGCTCTCGCCTCTCTGGAAAAATTTATCACTAAGGATTAACAATCCTACTTAGCATACAAAGCTAAACAAATATAAAATAAAGAAAATCATTGACATTGGTAGATTTTACAATAGATCATCAAGCTACTGCTTTTTACTTATACATCAACTTACTTCATAAATATAGATAGCAAGGGTAGAACAATATGCAAATCGTTCCGTGCTAGTGGCACATACATCTAAGTTCCATGGCTGACAGCCGGCAGGCAATAGATCTATCTGCCGTAAAGCTGACATTATTAAACTCTAAGTCTTTCTGTTTGATATTTTATCCATATTACTAGGCGAACGTCCAGCAAAATAAATGTACGTTATGCTTATATTGTAAACTTTAAATATAAATACAAACGACTCGTGTATCCCACTGTGTTGGTGTCAACACACTTGAATAATTATTTAGCTTGATGAGTCTGCGCAGAAGAAAAATTGGGGAACCAGCCCGCTTTTCACTAGACCTTTTCACCGACTTTGAACGGCTGGAAAGTTGTATATAGGGTAATCTAGGGTGGCTAAATCTAAAATCTTACAATATCGGTTAAATACCATATCGCTGTATTGTAAATTATACATACAATACCTACAAACACAGTGTTTTACTGCGCCCTTGCCTTATGCAGCATCACTAAATGGGAAGTAAGGGACCTCAGTTACTGCAGATATTTACAAACACTTGATACACTTCCTAGTGTCAATCCTAACTGATAATCGTCGACAGGTCTCCAAGTAATTTTTGCATTTTCCGAGGTTTTAGTTCGCCGTTCGGTGATCTAAGGTAAATAAGAAACTCTTTGTCTTCGTTTCAGCTGGCTCTTCACTCAGATGCTCAGACAGAAAAAATAAACTCAGAGTTTACCTCCAATGATATAACTCCTTATTCCTTATTTAAGGTTCCCTTGGTAGACATTAAATCATTTGATTTTGCTATGGGTCATGGGTGATACAAAGTATAGCATGTATTTCGTTACTATTTATACTGGAGACGGATCACCCGTCTGCCAGAGACTGACAATTTAGTGCAGATGATGCAGAGTCTTTAGTCATTTACTTCATCCAAGACACGAGATAAAAGAAAAGGCTGAAATTTGGTATTCAATAATTGCATGGCAGCGAGTTATTGCATTGCACTGTTGTATCGTAGGATTTTTACCACCAAAGACACGACAAATAATAAATATACTCCGAACTTTATAAGTTAACGAAAACACGAAATAAAAAATTGGAACATACACTCTGCCGAAACCACCTGCTTGATTGCTACGCTTGAAATATCAAATGTTAAAATATCAGCCAGTGATGTGAAAGCTGGACCGTGATGTAATCAACTAAAATTTCTATCTTCACATAAAAAATCCTAATCGTAAAACTGTAAATATTATAATATTCCAGCTTTTATGTATTTAATATAAATTCAAAAATTTTCTTTGGTTTTGCTGAAGACTCGGGGATTGTATTGATTCAAGAACCTTAATTTTCATTTGGAAACAAATTGCAGGTAAAAAATACAGCATAATAATAGACGGATTTTTATTGCTTATTAAATCCAATCAAGGTTAAAAGCATATGAATTGTAATGAAACCGCAAACTATTTATTCATTGCACGTCGTATACTCGTCGAGAAGTGATGAATTACCGTGGCAGTGGTCAACTTTAAGTTTAGCCAACACTAGTACACTACCCACTACACACTACACAGTCCTGATCCTGAGACAAATAATTAGGCGTGTCAACTCATGCATGTAGTCTGACACTACAATTCCCAGTTGAGATTACTCTAGCTTTTTCTGACAGCGATATCCCTGAAAATAAAACATATAACACATTGCATTTATCAAGCGATCAGTAATAATACATCTTTTAAGCGTTAAGAAGACAGTTAGTTGAGTTCCTCAACGAATATGCATTATTTGCTAGTGAGTGTAAATTATCAAAGCTTGATGTATATCGTTTGAAATGTATAATCCCTTTTCTTTCTATCTAATACTTTTTAGAAACACTGGCCTCAAGTCCTTAGTTGAATTAAATTATTCAAAGGATGAAAGTCTTAATCCTATTTCTTCTTCTTGATCTCCTAGCGACACTGGCACTTTCTGGTAAATATCCACAACAAAATTGTATAAAGAACGTTTTTCTTAATTTCAAGAACAATTTTCTTTTTGCATAATACGTATTTACATAATTTTAGGCAACGTCAACAGATTTAAAAGAGGTAAGTTTTAATATATTTTCTGCGTGTCTTTGAAAAACAAATTAATGTTCACTCCAATAAAGGGGTAAATGGGACGAAACCGCTGGGACGTGGATCAGTCTATCGATCCGGCCGGCATTGTTCAAACTTGAGCAACCTGACACTTTCAGGGACTTCATCCACAAAACGCGAAGAGTAAAAAACTCAGCCGGCCCAGCAGTTTCGTTATCATTCATCAACCAGAATTTCCTCGACGTTCGAATTCCCTATTTGCCAAAAAATCGAAAAATGTATCGCATTAATATAGACATCTGACACCCACTTAAATCAGTGATGAAAATGTTACCGAAACCTACCAATAAGTTTGCGGATAAAGCCAAAATCTTGAACATAATCCTGAGATCATTTGTAGCAGAGAATTAATTTCTATATTACCATTAAATTGCGTATTCCAGGATTCCTTTCACGCACGGGGATATGTCCAGATCCCAGTCGTAATTTCCAGAAACGTGATCGTCGCCTGAATTATTTTGGCAATGCTATCGTAATTAAGAAGGGAGGTAACAAAGAAGTAACGTGTTTGGAAAGTGAATGTGTTGAAGACAGTCACTGTGACGCCGATAGAAAATGTTGTAAGAATCGTTGCGGGGGAATGGTTTGCACACGAACTGGTAAAACATGTTGAATATAGATAAATTATTGAAAGTTTATGAGGCTTATTAGCGATTATGTCAAGTGAATAATTATTTAGTGGGTCATAGCTCTGGCAAAGCCGAATAGCGCACAATTTGGAAAATAGTTGCGACAAGGAAGTAAAAAACATAAATATGAGGATTAACTGTTAAACTATTTTCTCTTTAGTGCGAGATCCAGATCCTTGTGAGGTAACTCAGTTTTCACTAAAAGTAGTATAGAAATAATCGTATTGTTAAGTATACTAAATTATGCCCAATAATTTTTAGAATTTTGCTTGTCCACCTCAACAAACATGTAAAATTCATCGGGTAAAATGCATAATGCCTGACTGTAAAGATGCGTATGCATTAAATCGACCCACTTGTGTTCCAGACAGCGAAGCGACAGGTGAGGTTGCGATGAAAATTATCAACATATTAACTGCGTGCATTTACTAGAAAATAACATTATTGACTCACTGAAGCGTTTTGCAGAACGTAAAATTCAGTGAATAACGAAAAGACCTGCGTTTATGTCGCTATTGCATGACCAATACCGAAGTCTATAGCGACCCTATAGATACAGATAGTTTCTTTGTAGTTATTATTTATTTCCTATGACCTATGTTATAATTTAGTCCTTCAAAACGACGACGACAGACTATCAACAGCGTCGCCAAATGAACTATCTACAACTACAGGTAAATTCGGGGACCTTTAGAAAGGAGAATTAGTCTTGATCCTGAGTGAAATATCGGCCAGAGTGACGAGGAATTAAATAATGGGGGAATGGAAACAAGTGGTAACAAATAAGGCCTAATAACTGCCAGTTAGTAATAGTGCATAAGACTCCAGTGTACATATGAAATGAAATTGTGATGATGTTTACCTTTGTGAAAAATTAGCTCAGGAAAATTTTTCAGTTTACCCGGTTGGTGACTCAGAACTGCCAGTTAATTCATCATTTCTTTTATGTATATGAAATTATCCTCAAAGTCTCAGAATGGTCACTGTGAATCAGTGATAATGAACTGCTTAGAACCGCTAATAATAATCATCTGACAATATTCTCTGCGACAGGTGCAGCTTTTACAACAACTACTGGCTCTAGCCAGCAATTGTATGACATGGGAAACCAGTATCAACAATCATATTATGGCAATAGTCAACAAATGTCAGGAATAAATAGTTTTGCTCCACAAACAAGTTACTACGCAGGAAATCAACAAACAAGTAATAATTACGGGAATGGACAAGGTTACAATTGGCAACAGAATGACTACCAGCAAGGGTGAACAGATTTAATATAAAACTAGCACGTCAAGTGACACTATCAGTGCACACAAACAAGGTGGACATGCAATCGGTTTTTTAACAATAGATAACATTTCCCGCCTGCTTTTCAGGCTACTATTGCTACTCATGCGCACTCAAGAAAATTCAGGAAGAGTTTGTTGTAGCGAGTCGTGATTTTGTTAAAAGCACAAAGGTATCGCTACGATCCTTACACCATCATAATCACAACTTGAAGCTATGAGTGGATATAGGATAGAATATTTACAGTTATACTTATACTTCACTTGAGTCCAAAACCTAGCACAATCAATGCTCGCCTCAATCTGTTCTGTAATTCTACTGCTTCCAAATGACTAAGTGGACCATCCACACGACTGTAGATCATGCGATAGTTGAAGCTTAACATATGCTTTTCTTCGTCATGATAAATTTCGGTTAGTTTTATTTCTTTTACACAGTTCATGGTTAAGGCCATTGTTGTGAGAAAGAAAAGTTCTTGTGAGACATCGTCCGATATCCAAAAACTAATGTCATGGACGTGCGTGGATGGAAATAGGCTTTTTGGCGCCGGAATGAACGTGATATTTTCATCCTGGTCAACTTCCTTAATAAAAAATATATAAATCGTTATGGTTACTCATACAATAATATCTTTCCCAATATGGTCTTGACCTGAGATATTTACGTATACCAGTTAAAACGCGACTGTGAGCATGCATACGCCACACGTTTGTGCTAACTAAGCTAAGCAAAGTAATGTTAACCAGTCATGTTTTAAAATTAAGTTGCGGGCAGCCAACAAATATCAGAATAATAGGTGGCGCGACTATGAAAATCATGGGACGATAAAATGAATTTTCGAAAAAAAGGATCAAGGCAACGACACAGAATAAAAAATATTTACTCCATTTCTTAGCGGAAATTTCTCTTCGTTTTCCCTCTTATGTAGCTATATACGGTGTGCTAGTTCTTTACTAGCACTACAACCAGTAGCGTTATACATCAAGCTATATCGCAACGGAAGAGTATACTTTATAAAGACCAAAACTCACCTCCTTAATTTTTGTCGACTTTCTTTCCCAATGAATGATACTTGACGAAAGAAGACGAATGTCGGTTATATTGTGTTGTATCACAGCTATATTATCAAGATTAACAAGGATGAGCCACCCATGTCTGTGTCCAGTGAATCTCAAAATCTCTTGTTTGATGCTGCCACAGATAATAACCACAGATGAAGAAATTTGAAAAACCTTTACAGTGTTGTTATCAAGAAATTCCAAAGGCATTCGCTGTGAAGATCCAATACGAGCATCATTTCTTAGATATCTACGGCAAAGCTGCTTACATACACATTCACCTGAATTATGCTCTAAATCTGATTTTTGTTTAACTTGACATTTGCTTCGAGCTAAATGAGCAACGTCAGTGCTGTTTGTCCATGTTGGAATCGCAGAATCATCATTATTAACCATTATCTCAGACGAGACTTCATGAACACTCTCATACTCCGTAGAGAATATTTTCTTCAACTCATCTACTATTATTTTTTTCTCTGAATCCCCTTCCTGAAGATTACTCTCATCCTCGGTATCATAGAACCTACATATTGCTATATACGTAATACTCGTACTTAATTCGTGAATCATTTCATCTGTTCCTGTAAAAGCAGTACCAGTTAAAACAAATGATGGACTTTTTTTCATAGATAACAATATCTTGTTGTTGTAAGTAGCTGTGATGTTAAGATCACTCTCATATTGATGTGAAAAGTCTTCAGGATCAATAACATTGCAAATGTCATTGCTAATTTCCAGTATTTCTTCAAATGAAACATTGGTCACATTGTTTAACACATTTAAAATCTTATCCTTTAAATCATAAAAGGGATGGGAAGAATCAAAACACTGTGCATTGTTCATGATCTGATTATATTGCTTCCAAACATAGGACAACAATTCATCATCACTTTTTCCACTAAAACAAAACAAATCAAATGAACAAATTACAAACTAACATGTTCAGAGATTGAAACAATGTTGTGTTCACCATTTCGTAATGATTACCTCAGATCTTCAATAGAGTCTATCTTGACACCAGGAATAAAAATATGAATCAAGCCACCAGCAGTATGAAAGCTTCTTGCAAGCTTTCCTCTAAACCCAACACTCTTATACTGGTCATAGTCTGATTCCAGAAAAGGATGAAGTTGGTTCAGAACTAAACCTGGAAAACAAAACAAAATGAAGTAAGTTTTTTCAATTTTTTGTTGGTTCTAGTTATATATACAGACATACAGGCTATCTGACAATCTTTATCTTTTTGTAACATATATATGTATATGCAACTATAGAAATCCCAAAATAATTAAGAATTTTAGCAGATTTGCTTAAACCATGGGTAGGTTACATAAACAGCCAATGGAACTATCTATGGTAGTGGAGATAGTGATATATGATTTTTAAAAAATACTTGCCAGCTTTTGCTGCATTATCAACAATCTGCCATGAATTCCCATAACCTCTGTGTGGTTCATCCATGGGAGTACCGCCTTGGCCTTTACACAGTGTTACACATATTTCACCATTCAACGCAACATGTGGTACAGCACTCACAAAGAAATCTTCTAACAACTTTCTACATTTCTTAATGTTTGATTTGCCACCAGTGTGGGGAAAATTGAATATAATTCTGCCAAATATTCGGCCTATAAAATATTCTGAAAGCTTCGTTGCATCAATATTATGTAGGATTTCTACATTTTCACATGCTTGCAAACGTTTGAGGTTAAGACAAGTAAGCTCGTCTTGTAATAAAATGTCCTTGCTATCGAAGGATGTCAACACAAGTTGTGTGTTGAGACCTATTTCGTCACGAAATAATGCAAGAGAAAGTGAAAATGAAAAGTTCCCAGCACCAACAACTAATACTTTTTGATTTTCTTTAGAGAGCGATGAACGTAGAAAGTTGTAAGAATCCACTCCTCCATCAACGGCCATATTAGGCTATTTTATTTAGTTACCCGAGCCGTGTTTCTTTTAACTCCCCCCTTATATGCTAAGAAATTAATTGAATTTCCGGAGGGATACGTTTTACTCAGCTTTGGAGAAAGGACTATGTTTTGTGGCCGAAGACTTACAGCATTATGCCTGAAAAACCAAAGGCATATTTGTTATAGAGTTAGTTCTAATTCAAAGCTCCTCACAAATATGGAAACGGTAAATGTTTTCGAAGCAATAAAGCAAGCGATTCCACCCTTAGTTGAATCAAAATACAAGGGACAAGCAGGGCGTATTGGTGTTATTGGAGGCTCAAAAGAGTAAGCGACGGACCTCATAAATTACAGAACAAAATGTTCAATGAATAAAGTCTACATTAATTTCCTGTTCTCTTTCTTTTTGCGTGACGAAAGAGGGGAGGGCTATTATTTTTCCGGCAATCATGTTTGTGGATCTTTATAACCTATGCCTGTATACTATAAAACACTGGGCACCATCTCAGTAATGATACAAAAGCAAAGGTGGAAGCAATTTCCACGAAGAGGCAATTTTATACCATACCATCATACACATCATGATGTGTGCTTATGATGTGTGCTTACATATTGTTTGCTTTCAAAGTTTGTTTAATCATTTTTTGTTTGATAGAGGGTTGTTTGGTGGGGAGGGTGTTTCATAAGGGTCAAGGGGTTTATGTCTCAAAGTTAAAAGATTCTCCCATGAATTAATATTTTGAAGGCATCATAATGGAAAATTTGAGTATTCCTTCCAAGAAGGAATTCTTCTGAGAAGGTGCATTGAAAATTGAAAAAGATGTACTTGTAAGATGTACTTTTGTACTTGTAAGAAGCTGGTAGTCAACTGGTCAAGGCCTGCCAAACTCGATATGGTAGTTCAAGCCCTGCATGGAACCTCATTTTCTTTTTTTTTGCATTGTCTTAACCAATTTTAGTAACATAATGTAGCTGACAATCCAATTCAGGCACTTGATTACGATCCCTAATTCATGTGTCATGAAGTATAAACTCTCTGCACTTCAGAACAGAAGCTACTTTCGAAAGTAATTGATGCTGATTTTAGCAATAAAATTTTTCAGGCTCTTAGCAACTAAGTGAGAGTGATGTGGACTGTCAAAGGGGGCTCTAAATCAATCCTTGTTGCCTAAATAGATACTCATGACATCAAGCCTGCAGCACGCGATAGCTATCAGTTTATCTGAAGGTTACTCATGTCTGTTAGCTAACTGTGTGCAGGTAAATTTACTACATTTTATGCCTTATGCAACCTGTTTTACTGCCCATATAAAGAAAAAGAGGTATTGGCTGACATACATGAGGAACCCCTTTATCCTAATTTGATGCAAAATAGTTACACACTTAGATTAAAAGGCTCTTTTATTTAGGTACACAGGTGCACCATACTTTGCTGCAATTTCAGCTTTGAAAGTGGTAGGTGGCTCTCATCATATTTTCCCATCATGGTTTTTCTTCTCGCCGATATTTAGTTTTGTTGTAATAGAATTAAGACGTGTGCATTGAGACACATTTCATACCGCGAGCATCAAAATTTTTTTGACAAAAAGGTGAAAACTGAAAATCAATCTTATCAAAGGGATTATGAACAATTTCTGCTACACTCGTGAACAAATCCATATTTTATTATTTAGGGTTGCGACCTGTCACACGTGTTTTGCACCTCAGAAGCTTCTCAAGTTATCAAATCGTACAGCCCTGAACTTATCGTCCATCCTCTTTTGTAAGTTTCTTGCACAGTGTCAGTGACGTATTCAAAATTCGCAGCACGTCGGTAGAGATTTTCAAAAGTCATACAGATTTCATTATATGCGAGATGCATTTTTCATTTTTGTACATTTTAGTGAACACAATGCGTGCAATTGGTGAAAAATATTTTCTTGCCCTAAGGATATGGCTCGTCCATTTTGTAGGGATGAAGTTGACGCGTTGGACGAGTTTGTAAATTGGTTACCTCGGTTGCATACCCTAGTCGTTGGACCTGGTTTAGGAAGAAATTCTCGCATTCTTTCTGTAGCGAAGGTTATAGTGAATTTTTTTTTGATACTAATGCTCGGTTTTTAACATAACAGTCATTCGAAATAAATGCCTGTGACTTCATCCAGTGTGGTATGCACTGGATGAATGTAATTCTCGCATTTGCTTTATCATTATTGTTATGGTTTTGGAATAGAACATTGTGATGAAAGCCAGAGATGAAGGAAAGCAACTGGTGATTGACGCTGTATGTTTTGTCTTATTTTCTAAATGGTATTCACAGCAGGCCTTGACCTGTATACATCGTCTGCAGAGGTGAATAACTGATCTCTACCTCGAAACTTGAAATAAGAAGTTCCTTACCGTATCTGACTGTCCAACTATCCAGATCATACGATTGTCAGAATTGTTTTAGTTTATTCTATCTACCTGCTGTTTTATTGGAGACTTACAGTTCTGGTACTTAAGTTAGGAGCTCCAGGGAACTGCATGAATTCCCAAACACCAAAACACTGAAGACCGGGTGACTGAGAGGGATAATTATGTACCTGAATACCATAATTCACTGATTTTTATAAGCGCTGCATTTAATAATGTAATTTTTTTAATACCCTTTCACAGGATGGCCTATGGCTTATTACAACTGAACCTGATATTATAAGTGGATATACGTCGTCCGTGCTCACCCCGAACGCCATGGAATTTATTCGTTTGTATAAAAAAATGGTATGCAAATAAGAAATTTCATTTTATTCCTTTTAAAATGAACCTAGTATGATAAGTATATACGAGTTTAATTGTGGTTATACCAGAGTTTTACACCTGGACTGTGACATCGGTGAAAATAGCTTGTTCACGACAAATCGTGACAAAATGGAAACCAGGTTCAACTGGTTTTAATTTCCTTCAGATTGGAGTTGAGTTGCAGGTATCAAATATTACCCCTGACCATGTAAAACAGCTTGCAATGGCTCTTGGTGGTGTCACAATCAACGCAAAAGGACGACATGACATTATTTCAGATGGCGAAAAAGGTATGTCAAATAGGAATGAGCACGATCACCAGAGAGTGAGTAGGGATGAACACAATCATCAGAGAGTGAGTAGGGATGAACACGATAATCAGAGAGTGAGTAGGGATGAGCACGATCATCAGAGAGTGAGTAGGGATGAACACAATCATCAGAGAGTGAGTAGGGATGAACACGATAATCAGAGAGTGAGTAGGGATGAGCACGATCATCAGAGAGTGAGTAGGGATAAACACGATCATCAGAGAGTGAGTAGGGATGAACACGATCATCAGAGAGTGAGTAGGGATGAGCACAATCATCAGAGAGTGAGTAGGGATGAACACGATCATCAGAGAGTGAGTAGGGATGAGCACGATCATCAGAGAGTGAGTAGGGATGAGCACGATCATCAGAGAGTGAGTAGGGATGAGCACGATCATCAGAGAGTGAGTATAGGGATGAACACGATCATCAGAGAGTGAGTAGGGATTAACATGATTTTGAGAGAGTGAATACGATCATCAGCAAAGTGAGTAAAATGGTGCATGTCTTCTTCACAGTTTTAACGTGTGAATTGGAAGGAAGTTTAAGACGTTGTGGAGGGCAAGGTGACCTTTTGTCTGGTTCTTTGGGAACATTTTTATATTGGACGTACAAGCACGGCTTGGAACAGAATCAAACTGAAGGGTAAGTAAAGAGGTATAGCAAACACCTCCATTGCTGGGTATGTTGAAATATCATTAATATCTCAGCTACAGTGTCCATATATAATGATTACTTTATATTCCTTAGTCACCTATTAAAGGCAACGTTATCAGCAGCATTTGCAGCTTGCTGCCTAACAAGAAGATGTTCATATCTTGCCTTTGAAAAAAAGAATCGTCATATGACTACATCAGACATGATAGAAGAAATACCTGAAGCTTTTAAACAGTTGTTTTCGTAATAAAAAGTATGCTTGGCGCTAAAATGTAAACAATAAACATTCCTTTATTGTGTAAATAATTGTATACTCTATAATTAAGCAATGCATTCTCAATAGTTATGTCAAAATAACAAAAACTACTCCGTCTGTTAGCCTACACTGGTGAATGCAAGAAGCAAGGATTCTATGGAATAAAAAGGGAATAATGTAATTATTGATAGTTTGAATTATCATGAATACCTGAGTAGTTATCTATTACGTATCCGATTGAACACTGAAACAGTATTGAATGTCTGGTGACATTATTGGAAACTGGTTCCTAGGAGATTTTCTGAAAATGGTTTAATTGGTTTTATTCATAAAGACTGGTCCAACCGTAACAATTATGAAGTTGTGTGGTATGATGATTGAGATAATTAGAGACCATTTCATCTTTCTGTAATTAAATTTTTCTATTTGATAACAGTTTGCTCCTATGTACAATATTTTGTGATCATGGTATCATTGGTATGATAATGCATGCATTGTAAAATATAAACGTGTCATCAGGTGCTTCATCATCAAGGTGCTTCATGATTATATACGTCGTGTTCAAAATAAAATTTAGGCAAGATGTTTTGATTTCTCATTTTCACTCGTAATCTTGTATTGCAATTACTTGAAATTCTCTGTCATCATCTGTTTTTTCTGGGGCTATAATAATCTCACTTTTCTTCGTCCGCACACGCAATATTGTGAGATCATCTTGAGGATTGATGTCGCGTACAAGACTACGTGACATCTTAGTGAGGGTTTTAGCCATGCCAATGTATTGCACTGTGGCCGAGTTATCAAGAGTGCTGCGAACGGACATGGAGTCTGAGTTGACTACAATAACTCCTCGCACCCCCTTATGATGTTGGATACGATCAAGAATCTCGCCAGCTTGGCTTGTATCGGTTGATGACATTTGTTAAAATTTTGGAGAATCCTGCAAAATTTATACTGACTATTTAATGACGATATATTTATGTATATTTCAACCGTGCAGCTAAATTTATTGTTGGAGAAAAATACAACTAAAAGAACGTGTGTACTATCATCAGTGTATGCTATTGGTACTTAGTAGAAATCTATTTCAATTTTGTTTTTGTCTATGCTCGAGTTCAGTGAATTTAGATGCACTTTATAGTCAGACAACAATTGCTGCCAAACCAACAAAAAGAATCGAGTGCTTCAGCTTCCAAGGTTGGAAGCCAGCAGTCTGCAGCACCTTTTTGTTTGTTAGTGGTCCAAATCGTTTTGCTTTTAAATTTGAACTTTCTAAGTCAGTCATAACTTCGTATGCGTGTCCAGATCCAACCATGCAGATAGGTGAATTCAAAGTGCGACTAAATCGATGGCCTATCACGCCGTTGCATTCCGCACTTTGCAACGGGGTCTCAGACGTCTTGTGAAAGCCGATGTCGGTTTAGGACACGAGGCCGGCATCATCTTTTTGAAACTGAGTAAGACTACGATAAGTAATCATAGGTTAAGACTTAAGTTCTTTTACATTTGGTAATTGGGATTTCGGACCTAGCTATATTGATTGCTCACACCATTCACCAGGCAGTAAGACGACTAAAATGTTGGCCGATAATACTTGTATCTGGCAACGAACGCCAGTGAAAACGGGGCTTTAAATTTAGTCAATTAGGATTCTACAGAATATTTACTGTTCTACCATCAGAACTAGTGTTTAATGATTTCGTCTTTAAAGCCGGAGAATTATTAGAACAAATCAATCGTTTCCTGCCACTTACCTTTAATGAATCAGCTGTATGGTTACGAGCGGTGTACTGACAAGTTAAACTGCACTCAAATGAAGACGAAAAGTTGTGAAAAGATCAAGTTCCGTTGAAAACATCAATTTAAATCAAATCGTAGGCGATTATTTGTTTTGCGCCACTAAATCACAACGTGTAACTGCATTCTAAAGATGGCTTAAAGTTAACGATCAGTTGCCACGGTACTCATTATCTTGCTATACAATGCTGACTGCCAGTATTGGACAAAATAAAGCTATAGTCCACTCGTCATTTGCATGACAACTATCATTATATCAACAATTAATTCTATTGCCGTACCGGCTTCGTTTTAACTGTCAAACCACCAACAATGTGTTTGCTGATTCCTATACTGGCTATAGGAATAGGATCAGATTCTTTTGATCAGTAAAATGATTTACAGTATGCATGACAAGCAGTATAGCAAGTATCAACAGCACTGCACAGTCGGTTCGTATGAGTTGTCAAACGAACTTAGAAAACTGTATCTTACAATAATTTGCCGCGTCTATACGTATACACTATACATACACTGAGGGATTACTAACGTCAGTACCGAATTTCTTTTCCTCCGGTTATGGATCTTTATATGTCCAGTTATGGTTTTAGTATGAACTGGTCGAGCTACTTGCTGAATAAAAATGTTGTCTATCGTTTAATCGTTATTTGTCAGGAAGGTATACAAATTTCCCTGCGCTGGACCTACTTGTGAACCGAACAGCTCACTGAGTCACACGATGCAAGCATGCAGTCACCAGCGAATTAGCGCGGTCATGAGTGTTACCCGGCAAGAATATGATGTATAAGATCCCGGTGATGACATAATTAAAATAACGACTAAGTAAAGGCCGGTTTCCCACGTAGAACCGGTCACATTTTCGATACATCATACATGCAGTTAATATTTCCCTTGTCCACAGCAAGTGCAGTCATTTCTCCTCATCTTGGAATTGCTGTTCGTATCAGGGGCATAGGAAACATCCAGAGAATCGGGGGGGGGACACCAGCTTCCAGGGGCACGTTTGGTTAATAAAAGGGGCAGCTAAAATACGTTAGGGACGGTTTCATTACCAAAGCTGCAAGGACACCACTAGTGCGGGCAGGGCGTTATGGGGCCCTTATCACCTTGGGGACCCAAGGGAAATTTCCCCCTTTGCCCTCCTCTCTGGGCGGCTCTGAGTGTGGTGTGTATTTATCTCTACAAAAATATGTGGGCAAGTGTATGTGGGCATACGTAGAAAACAAAAAGGCCGCTTTCGATTTTAAAATAGTATTTTTACAGCTGCATTAGTTTCTCCAAAAAGGCATTTTTCGTCACAAAAAGGGCACTTTTGGTCCGTAGAAAAATTTGGGGGAGGAAGTGCTTCCTGTTTTTACATAAAAAAGAAAATTTGAGCGAGACTAAAGAATACAGAATTTTGTGAGGAGGCTCTCTCATACCCCACTATAACTTCCACATTCTTTAAATTACCAGTTTGTAGTAGGGACATTTTGTTTAATACCCCCCATTAAACAATTTTTTAATAAAGGCCCTGACTTCCGCTAGAAAAGTGGGCAATGAAAGAGATTGATATACTTTATGACTCTCCTTTGTTAATAATTAACGTACAAAAACGTCTTACTAACGATTGTGGCTGCGAAAGAGCTTTGAAAAAAGCTGTGACAAGTTAACATTGAAACTCTCTGTGGTTCGATTTCAACGATGGAGAGGGTTGCAACGCGCATTGATTTAGAACTGTTTGACCAGAGTTTAAAAATGAGATATTTAATTGTTGGCAATCAATCTTTGATTCAGATAGGGGAAATATTAACCAGCCTCCACATTTCCGTTTTAGTTATCAGTTGTCTATTTTTGACAAGCATATGACGTCATTCCAGCTATAATGTTCTTCTCCAGTCTTAAGCCGTGTGAATTATATTGCAACATACATAAAAACATTGGTCATTGGAATAACACAGCATTTTCAAACGCGTTCAAAGCACTAAGGCACACAGTGGGCACTTTACACTGTGATTTCGTGCCAGATTTCTCGCATTAGCGTTTACTCTTTCATTATCAACCCATGAAATGAAATTGTTTACAAGATACCGAAACCTTTGGCTTGTATATCTGTGTTTTGTTTATTTTGTTACGTTAGCCACAGCTTGTGACACTGATAGCGATTGTAATATTGTACGCTTCCCTCACGATGAAGAGGATAAATGTTGCCATGGAACGTGTATTTCAAAAGAATCATCGTGTATTTCTGGTGCAGCAATAGCAGGAATAGTTATCGGATGTTTAATTATTGGTGGAATAGTAATATCATGTTGTTTGTGTTTTTGCTGCGCTTGTGGTCCTTTCCAGAATAGGAGTCAAGGGACTGTTATTCGTTATGGCGGACGTGCTACGCAAACTACAACAACAGGCGTTTCAAGTTATCCAACGGCAAGTGTGCAGGCAGGTTATCCGCAACCGGTAGGCGTTACTCAGTATCCTAATGCTACATCTAGTGATGAGAAATATCCACAACCAGGAACATATCCTAGCGCTGTTCAAGGCGCATCAGCGGCCCCATACCCTCCTCAACCAAACTCTGCGTATCCACCAGCAGCGCCTCCTACCTACGACGAAGCGAGCAACCCACCACCATATAACCCAGGATATCCGCAGTAATATTAGTTTTATTGAGATACTGAATGTTTTCATTGACAAAATGTTTCTTAGTTTGAATATGCGGTTTATATATAAAGTTATAAATATACTATATATAAATGATAACTCGTATTTTTAGTCACAGAACTATTCAAGTTTAAAAATGTGATAAATGGAAGCTGTTTACCAAAAAGTGGTTTGTGAAATTTAGTGATAGATGCTTCCCTAATGGTGCTCAAGTAGGATGTCGAAACGTTGCTGATAGCCACATAATTTAGCTTATCAGCATTCCACAGTCGCGTATCTTTAATATTAAATGTCTCAATGTGAGTGAAACCAGCTAGCACCTCATAGCCATAGCAGCTTTGTTCATTATCTTTTTTGTGCGATGTATAAAATAACGATGTCTCCAAACAAGGCAGCTAGCTGTACTGACTTATATGTGGTGATAAACCTACAAAATAACTCATGCGTTATGCGCATTCATGGCAAATCACCAGATCATATGGTAGATATACTAGTTCTGCCGGTTACAATGTTTCAAGGAGCATGAAAAGGTTAATACAATGCAAAAAAAACGAAATAACGGTTGCATTACAACCGGGTGGATGTAAGGGAGAGGGCATAAAGGTCAACTGAAATATAGGTCCGGAAATTGTAAAATGAGTTCGTTCAGAACATTATTCGTTTCTATGAAAAATTATTATTATGCAGTGATATTGTTATGCATAATAATATGCATTGATATTGTAATAAAATATACCTAATAATTTACAATAAATAGAAGCAAAACGAAGGTATTGACTGTGCTTTCTACACGCAGGGAGCAGTATTTATTTCAAAAAAAAATTATAAAACAGCAAAAGACTCGGTCTGCCTTCAGGATTCAGGTGCATAAAAACCCACAAAACACGTCCACACAGCCCGGCTGCATAGCAATCTCGCAAGCGAAGTTCTTTACCATACCGGAGACTAAAGTACTAAAAATTTCCGAGATTCCAGATTCGCAGGTGTTTCTAAAACGTACGCAACTCTTTACGATCAAACATGGAAGTACCGAGAGGAGGTTTTGTCAGAACATTCTCGTGTTAGTTCATATATAGGGGTGGTTATTGGTAAAAGGGATTAGCATGGCGCGCACTCTAGTCATATCAAATAAAATGTCATTTCTTGGCGTTGATATAATGTTACCCAACAATGTTGCAAATACATTTTTTGTAAATTACACACAGACACATATAGTTCTGCAGTTCCCATTTCGTGTTTCGGAGTATTTCGAAGCTGAAAATACCTTTACCTAAAGTACTTCATTGTCAGTTCGGACGAACTCGTGTTATTAACTAACAAATATTACTTTCAGTCAAAGTTAAGGATATTAACTCTATTGTCTAACGCCACGAAAAGTTTGGTACTGTTAAACTTGAGTGAATACACTGAGCTCCTTGTATGTCGACTTCCATAATAGTACTAAAAGAAAAATATAACAGCCGTAGTACAGCGAGTAGCGTTACACCTGAGTCACAAACTTTAAGTGGTGAAAAAAAGTGAAGCCCAGGAAAAGAAGAAAAGAAAAAAGAAATATTACAATGATACATTTTAAAATCAGTGACTAATCCTAAGAAGTTCAGTTACCTTAACACATCGATCCATTCTTTTGTCCCACAACCGTACCTAAGCAATGGAAAAAAGTCATCGGTATATTGTATCAAAGTAGACCTTGTATATTGTGGGCAATGAGCATACACTGTCAATATGATATCAAAAATCATTACGTACCATACCGTAGCGGTATGTACCACTTAAAATCATCCATTTTTTGTCCGATTCGATGCAGTACACCGCTGAGTCATGCGGATCTTCCCATTTTTTCACGCAACAACTGTCAAAGAAATTTTTCGGTTCCAGTTTCTATAATTAACTGTGTGTAAAAGGTTAAAACAGAAAAGTATTTAAGCGTTAGATAACCTTTCACCAATACGCATATCCCAGAGCCTTACAGCCGTGTCATAACCACAAGATAACAAAATATTTGATGACTCAAACTTCAGATCTAAAATTCCAGCCCCACGCCTTCCAGTGCTATCACATATCAGCTCACTTAACTGATGACCACTGAAAAATTTTTACATATTTTAGTGAGGTGTAACATATGCATATCGAATCGTTAAATTTAGTGATTTTTATGCGGTACTGTTGATTTTACTGCCTCTCTATTCCTCAAAAAAAGGCTAAAATGTTTGGAAAAGGCTTTTGTGTTCCAATTTCTGGCACAATAAAATATCAAAAACTGCACCGCAAGGAAAAATCCGCTAATAAAGGCGTATTCGCTGTTGAACAAGGGTGATTAAGTGCGAGTCCTGAGTACGCCGTCTCCTAAATTGAGTGGATTGTTAACAGCGAAAACAACCTATCGTCACTTGCAAACTAAGGACAAACACGACAGTAATAAAAACATTGCTTATTTTGAAACAAGAGTTTACAAGTGCTTCTAACAAACATTAGAGGTCTAGAATCTGATTACCCAAACATGGCTTATAGCGCGGAATGCTTTCACAAGATTAGCTCTGCGCTGATTGGCTAAAATAAATTTAAAACTGCAACTTAAATCACGTTGAAGACATGTGCTGACGTTTTACATAAGAATAAGCGATTGCCTTTTGTGCAAGCGATTATTTTTTCATAAGATTATTTTGTCATATCTCGTTTTGCACGTTTTTTTCTAGCTGACCTCCAATGACGTCAATCTAAGTATTAGTTTGTATAGCCCTAATAGTCTTCGAACGCGATGTACTATAGAGATTTAATCGGCATGTGAGGATGGAAAATCTAGTAAGCATGATATTATACGAATTTACATGCAGTATCATCTTGAAAAACTCAAAAATATAAATTTGATTAATTATTAACATAACATAAATAATTAATATAAAATTTGCAGATGGTAAAATATAAAACAAGCTTATTGAATACATAAATTACACGGGATTTCATTCATCGATTTTATTCTGTGACAACTGTTTAGTAATATCTTATTTTACGTTTTTCATAAATGTAAACGTCGTATCCAAGATCCCCCATAGGCTCTTTCTTATCTAGACCTAGCGTGATAATCCTGGTTGAGGATTTTTTCTACGATTCAAATAAATTATTAAAACAATTTGGTGTCCCCAAATTGAAGGCTTTTTTTCCTAACAATTTTATCTACCCAAATACGGCAATTAATGGTCTCGTGTTTTAACCTTTCCAATTGGTTATTCCTTATCCATACTGTGTATTTACATTTCTCTGAATGCATGTGAAATGCTACTGACTCATCGCGCGAGCCGAAAAAATAATTCACCTCGATTTTTAACTGTATATCGTCGGGGCAGGTCTCCTTGAACTATCCGAGAAATATGAATTTGGCCAGATAGTAAAAATCAGTGCCGGATGCACTTTTAATTATTGTACTTACGTTTCACAATCATAGAGCTTCAATGCGGAATTTCTTGGAAGGTATCCTGCACTTCCAGCGACAAATCTCCTGAAGAAAAGAGTTTGATAAAAATTGCATTCCCACACAACACTTTCTCTTTTAGCTACGTACATACAACCCTAAGGGCTTTACCAAAATTCTTTTCTAACTTCACTCTATAGGCTTAAATCTTAAATAATGAATCAAACACAAAATATAACGTAGTCCAGTCTACCCTAGAAATGGATTCGCTGCCAAGGACCTCACTGGATCATCAATATTTGTGGTTGTTAGACATTTTCCCGAGCTTAATGACCAAATCTATAAAACAGTACACAGAACTAATTACCATAGTTACTTTAATTGTAGAAACAATAACAAACAGTATACTTTCTAACAACAGTTTTTAGCATTTTAGTCGTTAATCACCTTAATAGAGCGATCCCTTGACCCTGACAGAATAAGATTGCCAAAAACATCTACACAGTACACACACTTTGTATGACCCAAAAAAGTGTTCAATTTAGATAATGATTTGTCTTTCATGTTCCATACAGTGACATAATTTTTAGAACCACTAACAAGAAGGTTCTTCTTCACAACAAATCTTGTGACATCATGTTCACCAACTATGATGGATGCAACCGGTCTTGCTGCTTTCAATTGTCTTCGATAGTGATTATACACTTGGATGCAGTTCTCATTCGATACATATAAATTACTTGAATTTAGTTGAAGCCAAGGAAGAAGCCTAAATATGGGATTACAGTATGTAGATGTTTTTTTTTAATAACTATTAACAGGCCATTAGTTTTAATTTAATCACTCATTAGCAAGTTGAATCAGTCAAGTAAATACTTGAACTAATATCATAATTATGACATATGTGGAAAGGCATGTAATTCCAGAACTACCAGGCAAATTTTTGTTCAGAATAAGCATGGTTACAGAAGTTCATCAAAGTCAACTAATAAATGCCAAGTTGAAATATTAATGTGTTGCCACTTTGACATATATTAACAGGTAAATATATAGCATGGTTTTTATACATGGTAGAAAGCTGCCAAGCTGCACCATATTCATCCTACAGACCTCAATTTTGGTATCTTTGTAAAATTTATTTATACAAATCATGCCAAATTAAACTTACTATAGGAATGAAGTAAATATATGTTATATAAAGCTTACTTGTCACAAAATTTGACCATTGTTGTCTCATGGTATTTACCATGCACCCACTTGAATGAGATTTTGCAGCAGTCTTTTAAACTGTAAGTGCTGAATGTAAAATTCTATACCTGAGCTAATGAAGAAATTGTCAAAATCAGTTGCCAAAGCTGGACAAGCTGACTTGACAATAATGAGAATAGCAATATCAAGTTTTCAAACAGGATATCAGTCATATAACATATTTGAAAGGGATATCAAGTATTCAAACCCTCTAGACCCAGGAACTGGTAGCTCATGACATGGAAGAGCATCGGACTAGCTAACAAAAAGTCCCAGATTCAATTCCCACTAATTTTTTCAGCTTGCCTAGTTGGTAACTCAGAGTAACATTATCACGTTATATACACATTACATAAATACGCCCAGGGCTTCCACAATCTAAGGAGATTTTCCTTCAAAATGGCAATGACCAACTGAGGGAAAACCCCTGTGTATGAGGTTGGGCAACAACTAGGGTTGGAAACTTGGAATGTTGACAAATCACAGGACGAGAGTAGTCAGAGTACTATGCATTCGTTTCAAAAGTTCTCTCTCTTTTTGTCATTGCCACCCCCCTATGAGGACAGTCATATGAAAAGAAGTTGAGCTGTTGAGCAAGCCCTGTGTACGCCTTGATCAAAGTAATTTATGACGTCATACTGACGTACTTTAATAACTGTACCTCTGAAATTGTGGTGGTATATTGAGACATCTTGCTAAAATTGGCCTCCATAAATCATCATGGCTCGATAATCTATTGAAAATTTTGCAAACTTGTGCTACTGTGAGCAAAGTTTTATAATCACAGTGCATAAATATAGCCAGCAGAACATCGTTCGGCAAGTCGACAATCGACAACTTTTCCATAATGGTTGCAAATTCATATTATGATCTAATGTATATACTGCATCATCTTGAAAGCTTTGCACGATTTCCATTGCGAAAAAGACGAAACATTCTTTTCGCAAACATCAAAAGATCAAAAAAGCCTTTCAGAAGAGAAATAAAAAATACGAAGTCACGAAGACCGAAGGGTTACAGTTTCCACTTTGATTATTCTTTGTTTCCATTCTGATTTCCGTTTTCCTTTTAGTTTTTTCATTGGTTGAATATTCGGTTGAATACCAGTGTTGAATACAAATACCATGGTCATCCAAGATATCAAGTTATTAATTTTACCTTTATTAATCTCATGATTTCAGATTTGTAAATTCTGATTAATAATTTAGTCTAAAACAAATTCTCTCTTAAAAAAAGTTTGAGGACAGTGTTGCCAGATTACTGAAAAAAGAAGCCAAATATTGTTGTGGTTGGCCCTTTGATTTCTTTGTTTGAAAAAAAAAACAGTGATTATGGCAATAATATTTGGCTAATTGGTGGATTTTACAATTGTGCCTCATCCAAGTCTTCCAAGACAGCCCACACCTCTAATGATTGAGCCAAGTGAATTTCACCCAAAGTTTATACAACAAAGAACATAGACTTGTCACAACTTCCAACATTATACGAGCAACTAAAACTCATTATGTGTCTTCCAACAAATGATATTTAAATCATCGTTTTCCTTACTGATAGGCTTGTGTATATATTTGTTACCATGACAAGATGACATGTTTTAATATCATAGAATGTTATTAGTTTTAAGTATTTCAGTTAGTTTCCCAGATCTATGTAATTCATCAGTTTCTGTTTCTCCTCCAATGAATCTTCCACCAACAAACACACTAGGTACTGTATTTCGACCAGTTAGATAGCTCAAGGTTTGCTACAATTAAGATCAACAACACAGTGGTAGATTTCTTGGGATGTAAACTGGGTGCACTTTGAACTTTGTGTCTTTCAAGACAACTTGCTAGTTTCAGAAAGGTGTAAAGTGCTAATTTTACACAGGAGATACCAATTGATATAGACATAATTTCTATGACAAAATGTCATATTTGTGTGGCAGTGCAAATTTTTTGTCAATTTTTGTCACCTGTAACCTTTCTTTTTTACAATATTCTAGCAGAATATGTGTGGGGAATACCTTGAAATAACAATCAATTCAATTTAAGTGAACAGAAATAATATACACATAAATAAAGAGCATTTCACAGTCTGGTGATCAAATAACTGCATTGGTTTTATATTGTGCTGAACCAGGTTGACCGGTTGAAAAATGAGTGAATTCCTGTTGCGTTTTCCACTTGTCAGTGATCATGTTTTACTCATACCATCATGTTTCTTCATCTATCCAGACTATCCTCATTCCTGATATAGACTGAGACTGCAATAAAAGCTAATGGGAACACCAGTTCCTTATACCCCCAAATGCCGAGGGCCTTGTCCTAATCTACGTTAGGTGACTGGTTCGGAAAATTTAAACGAAAGAACGTTTAAAAATTGTGTATACATGACTGTGAACACTACAGTATAAATACCTGTAAACTAACACCGTTTTTATCTTCATCTAATTCGACAACCTTCATATCAGACACTCCAACATTTTTAAAAGTAGCTTTCGCTTTTAAACAAAATGGACAAAACGTCTTTGAAAACATCACCAACTTGTGATTTCGTATTAATTTTGCAACTAAATTTAGAGCCGCCATATTTAGTCAATTTTCGAAACGTCATGTAAGTATCATAAAAGTGTAAGACTAACTGTTCATAACTAAACAGGAACTAATCGACCACATGACTACCAGTCTAATGACTACGTTTTGGTGCCAAAAACAAAATGGTGGCAAAAAATTTCACTATTTTCACTATTTCAATTAATTTGCTCTTCCTAATGATTTTCCAACAATATACAGTTATTGCTTTGGAAAATTAACGAAGAAAGCCGGAACCGTCAAATCGTTGCTGAAGTCAAGTCTTAATAGCCCTACAGGGAGACTAGCCTGTTACATTTATGTGGAAAATTTCCAGCCCTACCACAAAGAATATTCTGTATGTATTCAACTCCCTCCCAAAAGAAGTGCAGGAAGAACAATTCTTTTTGTCTCCTCTATTTTGTTGTTTAACTGTTGTCATGTCATGAACACCGAAAATTGACGAATTTCATTGCATTACCTATGAAAGTATAGTTTAATCGGGGTTTCAGGCAAACATTGGTGATAACCGTTACCATTTCTGGATTTAATTTGATATGCCGTGACAAATATGGCGGGTTGTGTGTTTATATACGTATTACGTAAAACTACTAAAATGTGAACATTGAAGTAATTTGTTTGGAAATTACACCTACAATCCTCCCAATAAGAGTTATGCCTAGAATTGCTGTGGTTACATCATGCCACCTTCCTGTGAATGTGCTTCTTATCAACCACCTGTAGAAAAATCGGGGTTTAAATCCTACTGCGATAGAAGCAAGATACCCAAACATGCAAATGATATTGCCTTGATGGCAGATAAGTTTATTCAATAGCTATTAGCAATATCGCTGGAATCCATGATCAAATATCCCTAAATGTGAGAAACCCCGTTGCCAAGGCCAAGGGTCTAAATTTAAAAACTTGTTTGTTTGCTATTTTTGTTCTAGAATAAATAAAGCAATGAAATAATGAGATAAGAGATGGTACCTAAAAACATCAACCAGTTTCATGCCAGCTTTCTTCTACCACAGTATTTTTTACTGACCCTGTAAAAGGCAAATGCCTTCTGACAAATGCCTAATCAAAAATAAAGATTCTTGCGAAGATAAGGTGCAAACTTTGAAAACTGTTATTAACACTGATATGGATATCCTCCAACCAATAAAAAAATATGCTGAAAGTGTCAAATGACCCCCTTGGTTACCTCAAGTTACTAAAACGATTAATTAGGTAGTGTCAGAAGCACCTCATGATCACGAAAGGCGTATGAAAAACGTCTGGATAGTTTATATGTAATTGCGAAAGAAAATCGTCTCATTCAGTATGGTGGAGGGAGATTAAGAAATCGAATTGTATGCGTCAATAAGCAAAGAAAAGTTAAGATATTTGTGTCAATTTTGCACAATCTAAAAATGTCATGTCAATCATTGGCATCATTGATGTCCCAATGAGCTTGCTGGTCTCGTTAACTAATTAAACCTTCTTCGTACCAACGTTCAAATGGAAATCATCAAATTTCTCTGCCAGCAAAAATTTTGACAAAACTCGCAACTTTGTGAATAAAGATCGACGACCTATTAACCGAGCCCAAGTTATTCTGCCTAGTATTTTATAATGATCTAACAGTCTTAATTGCCAAAGTCCTCTATTTAAGTTTGCATTTGAAACACGATTTTTTTTATTGCACACAATTCTGTAAACAAGTATAGTAGCTAATTTTTTAGGGAAGCAGCTTTGTTTTGGATTAACACTTTACCATTTGGAGGTTTATCTTTCAAAAGGGACATGCCGGCATCAATCTCATTTGACAATTTCGAAATCTTTCGTGTTTGCTGGGCATAATAAATCCGGATTTTCAACACTTAAGATTGTTTTTGATCTCTCTTTACCTCACCTTTCCATTCCCCTAAAATTTTCGGCACCCTCCGTGCGACAAAATCCGTCTAGAAGACTAGATGATGTTCAGTATAGCAATACCCTAATCTATAGACGTTAAAACGAGAAAAATGTAATTTCAACTGAGGATGAGGCATATACATATTGACATTGTATAGCACTACTACCAGGGTATTTACAATACGCTTACAATCATGTAGATTGTATTAATTTAAACCATGAACGATTTTCTTGGTTTCAGCTCCAACTTTAATCAAGAAAGATGCGCAATCAAAATGCCCTCCGCGTAATGCAAACTCCAATGGCGAAAATCCTTCAGCACCTTGTATGTTAATATTAGCACCGTACTGTACAAGCAATTCAATTGCGTCCAAATGTCCTTCAGCAGCAGCCATATGCAGTGGAGTAACTCCAGAAAGATACAAAATATTTGGATCAGCTTTGCCAGAATCTAAAATAGCTTTTAATTCTGTGATGTCATTTTCAGCAGCTGCAGTATAAAGTTTAGCTGTTGGATCAAATGATACACTTCGTGGTCGCACTAGGTTAATTGACGCAGCCGTATCATTTTCCATCTTTGTTATCAGACTGTTTATGGTGATTGCATCAGGTAAGGAATTACTTCGATTTCTCTGAGTCTGAGAGCAAGAGAGTGTCCGGCATGTTAAGCACGCGCTAGTTCCATCATTTTGTTTCGGATCAACTTCCTGAAAAGCGGAAAGACGACGCCGGCGTACTTGGTGATACCTCTTCTCAATTCTCGTTTCATCTGCTAAAGCAGTGCCGTAAAAAGAATGACGATAAGAACGACTCTTTGAACCCATCACTTGCCAAGGAGTAATCACAAACTTAACTGGAACAACTGAATACGTAACGCTTCAACTGGACCCTTGTATTAATTCAAAGAGCCGCATTCCATCGTCGTTGTTGGCCAGCTGAAAAATTATTAGGAGGCTGATTCACCAATTAAAACAGATGTTAGATTAATTGAAAATAAATTAGCTACAGAATTGCCTGTAATTTCACAGCTATGCTGCTAATATAGAATTCTAATTCAATTTCAGAAAACTTTCTTTCCTTTCATTGATATGTGATTTCTGCCTAGTGCCTAGTATTTTCTGAGTATCAACATACCTCATTTGCGTCTTCTTATACATTCGTCCTTATATTTAATTTGTTTATATTTTATAGGACGTTCGAGAAAAATACTTTGAAAATCAGATTTCTGCATACTGTGTCTCGTCTCCCTTTGGAGTTAATCCACAACTCTTCAGTTCAAAATTAAACCACTTAAACGGTTTTATGAAGAACACATAAAATCAGTCAGTTTACAGTGAAATGAGTGATCGTGTCAAATATGTTATCACCATCTCAATATACATTCGATTAATTAGAAATGTGTCACACTACATTTTTGCCACAACACCAAGAACGTGATGCATTATACTGCTATAAAAAAAGTTATAATCAGACCTTGAAGGCCCCATGAGACCACGAGAGGGCTCCAACGAGCTTGATTGCGACCACTGTGATTGCGACATTTAAACTTTTGAAATAATTATGCAACGTTTCTAAGATTTTTTAACTTTCGCACAGACCGTAAATAAAGTACGTAAATCAAGTTTGTGAGACTGGTCAGAGAGTTTGCGATGACTTTTTAAATTTCAGGATATGTTAGAGATTCTTTACAAACATTTAGATACAAAAGTGTAGGACATCTGATCTCTCGCTGCATTATTATATTTATAGTTAAAAACCTACATCATCATCCTCGGATTTCTTTGGTGATTTAGAAGTCGTTCCTTATATGTTTCATTTAAGGGCGGACGAAGGTATTGATAGAGTTGACTGTAATATAGCAAAATAAAGAGATGTGTCGACAGTGTTGGATATCTTGACATGCTAAAAATAACTTACAACATGATGCTGTAAAAAAGGCATTTACATTTTCTACCATAAATGGTATCCATCACTTCACGAGTTATAATGCATTGATCTGCTCATGGCATAACTTACATTTGTGATGACGTGCGTTAAAAATTTCTCAATCTAGATCAGAGGTTAATTAAAATTCCATAGTCATAGATGTACGGTACATTGCAGCTTTCTAAATCGATTACACCAAGTCACTAACAGTTCAAATCACGAGTAAAACCATCTGAAATAAAATCAACTGATGCCATACATTAGCGTTTCATTGGTATGTCACTATAGCCTATGTATTGTGTGTATTGTGTGTATATACATAATACATCCCATAATTTGTTTGGATGTTGCGCATTTTTATTACCATATATAGCGCAAATTGAGAATCACGAATCTATCAAATCAATGGATTTTCTCCCCCAAGCACCCCCGCGCGCTCAGTGCTGTACCGGGAAATACTTCCAAGAGCCTGGGAACGAGGCTTGAATTTTCACATCGGGATGTCATGAGGCCAAACTTGCAACATTATTAGTTTTAAATATAATTGTTTTTAATGCAAACTTGCCGTGTTAAACTTTTTGAGTCTATATCTCGATCACCAATTTTGTTTCAATTTATAAAGTAGTATACGGCTGATGTGCTTCTTGACTTGTATACAGTTGGTATATGATGACATTACTAATCACAAATATATATCCCAACAATCTAATCTATCTAATGGATATTATGCATAAGTATAACAATAGACCTTTTCAGCTTGTATGCAAATGAACAATTTCAAATAACGTGGTCTGAAATCGCTAAGTTTTATTGGCTATTCCATGATCACAACATCTGCATGATGGTTAATTTGCGTGCAAGCTGAAATGGTCTGTTGTATCGAGCGTTTTCACATTCCTTTCCTTTTCATGCCAAAACGGTTTCAAACACCGTCAATTTACAATAGAAGTTGAAGCAAATTTAACATATGAGGCGTATTTTTTCTTGGATCGTTTGGACAGGGCTTCCGCTAAACAATAAGATTATAAGATAGACAAAAGCGATTTAAAATCGTTCGAAAACGACTTTCGGAGCGCAGACGTGACCATCGTTGACACATTCCCTGACACTGATGGAATGATGTACTTTCGTATTATAAAAAATTGGAAGTACTATATTTTAATTATTTTTGGTAAAATTTGGTTAGCAGCTCGTATGAATTCTAGTGACAAGCTTTGCAAAAGTTGAACAACTGAACAACAACAAATAAAATTGTTTGAAATTAAAAAGAATAATTTTGGTAATGTACGCCAGTACTTCTCATCTTTCGATTTCGAGTTTAGTAAAATATATAATGTTGCATTGAGCTATTGTATGGAGGTCAGGCTGAAAAAGCGAGCGCGCGGGGGTGATATTTATCACATTTTAAAATTCTTTCCGACATTTCGGGAACATGACCCGACATTTCTCAGTAAACGCAGCCTATTTAGAGCCGATTATCTCCCGGCTTATCAGTCATGCACACTTGCACTTTGCTTTGTCAGTGACACATTTTATAACGACAAGAATCCATTATTCAAACCCGAAGAAGGGTCACTACTGAGCTAAATTTCGTACCCAAAACCATAATTAAACCAAATTAGCTTATGCATGGTCATTTGATTTAAGGCTCTGGCTACGAGCTCGAGACTGAAGCATCGATCTTGCTGTTTTCAAAAAAGTGAGGTGGACCATAATACCTTAGTAGCTACCCCGGTTCCCGGTCAATTAATTGCCTTTGTTTTGCTTCGAGCTCACGTAGTTTGTGCTCGTGGCAGTCGAAGTTGGAGGACTGCGTCCGTCACATCAACTAATGACGTTACTTTATCTGAATGGAACTCAAACATTAGCGAGTCTAGTTGAGTGGTTTTTGTAAAATAGTCTGTAGTAGAACTCTTACTTAATGTTAATTGCTTTTTCTGTTACGTTGCCACGGAAGTCAATTGACTCTCCGGTGAATCTAAAACGGAAAATTGGTTTTGGCATATTCAGCAACGTATTGAAATCTCATTACGAGTTTATTTTCCGACTTTGCGGGAAGGACCAAGGGGGTATAAATACCTGTCTACTCATGTTTAATTACCATTCTTAGGAACGCCTAGATTTGTAAAAGCTTATTAATTTTGCCATACAGGCCTAACTAAAAAAACTGTCTTAAACATGGGTGCAGAGAGACGATGACACCTTATATGAATTTCTAGAGAGTGAAATGCATGGCACACTGCCGAGGCACACGTACATGAAAAAAAACGAATGATTTTAAGCTACCTCCTGTTCACTTGTCAAGTGAAGTTGAGTCCTAAGTTTCTACATGTGGCATCTTACTGCATGATAACTGACACTAAACTAGCCAACTGGGATTTCTGGAAAAGATTTGAAGTCTTTTGTGATAAAAGAACGCTGAAACAAACCATTGAAGACTTAGAATAGTCGAGACGTTTTTGTGCTGGTACGTCCAAATTTATGGCCTAAAATTTGATTTGGTTTTATATAAATAATATACTAACCTGCATGGTATTCAGATATATGAGTAAACAAAATATTAGAAAACGTCATCACTTGGTTATGTATATACGTAAACTTTGACCCCCTTTGAATCATTTTAGTGGTTTCACCTTGGTTTCACCTTGTCGGCTTTAATCAATCAAGGCGCGCTGAACTTTCCACGGGGTATCGACACTGTATCGATAATACGGATTAAAAAACTTATCGCGATAGCAATATACAGTTGAGGGGTGCATCATTTTAAAATACAACATTGAAAGATTTTCTGTATTTTCAGTATTTTTAGTTATTTTTATTTAAATTTTTATAGATTCTATAAGGATTTTTAGAATTTCCCATTCGAAATTTAGGTGACTTAATTTTTGAAATTATTACAGCCCTTCGCTCAAGTAATAAATTTTTGCTTTTTAGTGCCTGTGCATGAGTATACTGCAAATGGCCAGAAGGCAGAATGTCAAATGTGCACGACGTGCATGCATGCAGATACGTTTCACACGGAGCTTGTAGAGTCATGTTTTCATCCGTCAAATTACGGTATAAAAGGAATGACAAGTGGAAAATAATCAGCCGGAATGTTGGTATAGATTTGCATGACCATAGACATAGTTGATTATCACACGTTTTCTTCAACCGTGTAATGTTTACTTGATTAATTAACATGATTCCAGAGACGTTTCCCTAACAACCCTGAAAATACGATAAAAAATAATGATCACGCGTTGACAGGATGGATCACAGACCTTCTTAGACTGATATAACAAACTCGTGAATGCAGTTTCAGTCAAACTTCACAACCTCATTGACCCTACAACAAGAACAACATTCAAAGCCGAAAGATTTTGTTTCTCTTATAATATGTCGTCAGAAGAAAAGCACTCGATTTTTAGCAACTCGCACAGAAAAACATCTCCGACAGTTAGAAGCAAGCGGCGACATAAGAAAATTGAACGCTGTAAGTCATCGGAACATTATAACGAAGAAAGGGGCAGTGAAAAATTTGGCGATTTTCCGTTAGAAAAACAAGTTTGTCGTATAATCCCACGTATAAACTCTCTACCAAATATACAAGCAGTTTACGAGCACGAAACATTAATTGATGCGAATCCTTGGTCAAGAAAATCATGGTGTAAACGGTACAGCTTGAAACGTTCACAAAGCATGGAGTGGGAACCAATTAGTGCTCTATTCACAGCAGCAACTGAGGATGACCTAGTAGAACTCGAGAGAATACTACAGGAATTTGAGATAGAACTGAATTTTTTGGGTCCTTCTGGAATTTCACCTCTCCATACCGCAGCTTTAACTGGTAGTACAAGAGCTGTTCAACTTCTTATCAACTCCGGAGCAAAAGTTGATTTTTTGGACGATAACAAAAGAACAAGCTTAGAGATCGCTCTCCTAGCTGGCAATTTTGATTGCGCTGCAATGTTAATAGAGAATGGTGCTTGTATGCGAAAAATTATTGATGGTATCCAGGTCCACTAGGTTTTGACACACGAATCACAACGATCTTTTGTAAAAATCTTATTGAGAAACTTGAGATTAGTATCTCTATCCTTATAAATTATCTTTAGTTTAGACAAGAGAAAAAATTGGTCACGCCATCGTTTCATGACAATACAAATGCCAGCTATCGGTCACATAAGTAACTATCGTATACGTTTATGTTAACAAAACGACGATTTGTAAAGCTCGCAGACTACTATTTGTAATTAAATGCGAAAATAAAATGCGAAATAAACTAGGTTTTACGAGAAATGTTATAGTCCCTCTGCATGCTTATCCAATATTCCTAAACTAGGTCAATGATGATGATTATAACAAGCGGCATTTTGTCCTATAGTATCATTATAAATCATTAAGAGCGATAATTGAAATGTTTTTTTTCGGTTCAATTCAATTTGCGCACACTTCCTCCAAAACATCCTCGAGCCTAATAGTATAATACATTTCCGTGTCAGGCCGTGGGAATTTCATCTAGGCGTGGTTTTATGGTGGCTGAATGCAATCCGCAGTAAAGTCTTTAACAAGTTAATCTTCCTATTTCATTTCTTAATAAATTAAGTCAATGTATTCGAAAATCTATTGCATTGTACTTAAGTGTAATATTTCTATATTTTTCGTACTATTTGTGTCAATATATGTAATCAAGTTATCATTCAAGCCCAGATTCCACTATAATTACAGGTCTATTCAGTATGCACGGAATGAAAATAAGATTGAAAATATGTTAGCTGTTGATAATCAAAAAGTATATACACCGGCACCAAATACACGAACATGCATGAGTCACGAGTTTCATTACGTATCAGCAGCTGTGATGCAACATGTTTTGTTTGCGCTGTTGCCGCCGGCGAGTTGGCCAGTTATCACCCGATAATTAGACCTGTTTACGTTGGAAGGCTCTTCTAACTACGAGGGCACGCCCACGGCTTTTTTATTAAGGATTTCCCAACCTGGTATTTTAAAAACAAGAAAGAAAATACAAATTGTGTTCACAGACATATAGGAGTGTAAATGAATCAACCCTCGTGAAGATTGGAACTTCCCGACTAAAACAGCAGTTATAACAGTAGTCAGTAGAATAAAATATCAAAGAGGTTTCGAGTTCGTCTTCATTCTGCATTATGATACTTATAAAGTATTTAATTTGTTTATCTATTTTATGTATTCATCACCTGAATGTTCATGTCACCGACGCATTAGAGATTTGGCAATTTTCGCTCTCCCGTACTTTTAATCTGACATTAGAGTTGCAACCTTCCTCTGCGAGGATCCCAAGCTGCAAGAATTAGGGTCGCACCTCAAAATATTTTAATACCATTGCTTCAGCTCTTGATGTTTTTTATATTTCATTTAATGTACTGTAGACGAGTTAGAAAACACTACTCTCAGTAACTCAGTTACATTTCAGTAATAATTTTAATAAAGTTCTTAATAACTTGCTAAACTGGTTCACACTATCATTGTTTTTTGATCGCAGGAAGCATCGTATAGGAGGATATGAGTAAATCCGATTTTATGAAAGGATTCCCATTTTGGAATAACAAAATGATTAAAGTAAAAAATAGCATTCTTTTCCACATCATCACAAGGTTAGGATAAACAGTTGTCATGAGAAAGGACATGAAAAAGGTTTTGCTTTGCTTTTTGAAAATTCTGAACTTGGATATTTTACGACAGCTCCGTTACATGCGCCATAAGCCAAATTATTGCAAATTTTATGGTCTAAACATTGATATGCCCTAAAGCCTAAAGATCAGCATTCATGCAGCAGCCCTGAAGTAACGCTGTCGTCAACATAACCCTCCTGACCATTATATGTGCAATTTGGCACGAACACATTAATGCATTATAGCATGCTTTTATGAATTACGCATTTCCCGTTATTCTATAACCTAGAAAAACAGAAACCTACATGTCCTTTAATATGGTGACGAAGTCATCAATTTAAGACGAGAATGTATTATGTAATGTAAATAAATTATTTAAAAAACTATATCATTTAGACGAGAAAGTTTGAGAAAGACATTGAGAGAGCGAGTTATCGATTTAAGGTGACAACTTGTTCCTAGCCCAGAAATCGAGAAAACAGCAGCTCAGGATCATCCGTGTAAATGAATAAAATAAATTTAATCGTATATTTATCATGACCTTTTTTTACCACAGTGGCGTTAAAGCGTTCCACTAAAAAGACTTAAGTTACTCGTCTGTCTCGTCATTCTTTGCTTCTTCACTGTTCAAGGTGTTTTGAAGGATTAGATTTTACGACATATAACAGCTGCTAGATATGAACTAAATGAGCTTACAATCTAAACTATATTACCCACGATCATATGGATTTGCCATAATTATAAAGCGTTTGAGGAGGTAAAATATCAAACGCCAAGGTGAAATGTCCCCGAGAGTGGGTGTGAAATAATACATACATATATAAGTCCTATTCAAAGCCTGTTCATGACATAGTCATGGGAGTGTGGAGCTTTGTTTTCGTCTGAGAGGGGTTCCCCCTACATATAGATTACCTAAGGTTGTCTTTACAACCACAGCTGGCCAAACGAAACAAAAATGACGAAGTGAACTTTTTTGTTTGGGGGCAGCCTTGAGCCGATCGGCTTTTTTATGATATCCAGGCTAATCCAGTAATACTCAATCTAAGTAATGGAGTGTTTCAGCTGTTTCGATAATTGCTTTTAGTGATTGGCTTTACATTTAATTTGCGTTTTCTGTACTGCATGACATAAGTGTAAATGCTTACAGTTTGATATCAAATATATTGTTCTAGATTATTTTGTAAATATAGATTGCATGTATGTTTAAGTTCTGTTTGGCCTTTTGATAAACTTTCGCTGAAAAACCTGGGGACGAGGATGATAGACATTTCGAAGTTAGTAAACTGATGATGAGATTGATAAGAATCTACATCTCTTGGACAGGAGACGGGGGAAAAGCGGATGAACAACTGCCGTTCTTTTATTACATGCAGTAATATTTTATTAATTATTAGAAATTGATCTTGAAAATAGTTGTGGATTTTGCAATACGTCGGCTAATTTTTTTATAAAAGATATAATGTCGGATACCAAAGTTTGAACAACTAGTTACTACACTTGTGTTGGCCACTTCCCCGCTGTTAGACGACTTCTTCGCCAAGTCGTTTTATCCCCGTTTCCTTGATAAAATAGAAGTGTTCCAAAATGTTCCTGACTATCCCTCGGTCGAAAGGATTATAAAACTTTCCATCAGAGCCAATCAAATATCGGTATCGTTTCTGATTAATTCGTTCGTTGCTTGTTAAATTTGTCGCCATATTGCCAAACTATAAATCACAAAATTATAATTTAATTTCAACTATGTGAGAATGACAAAATGTTCAATTGCGATATAGTAGAAAATTCATCTTTGTTGATGATTACGTTCCAATATAACCAGGAAGCAGCGAGGCAGAGTCTTCAAACAACTTAGCATCAAAAAGCAGTTGTTATACCACATTTGATGGTGAGTTAGTTGATGATTGATTCATGTGGAAAAATCTGCCTCATGGACACCTCTTTCCAAGAAGATGTGATTGACCCTAGTCCCCACATTCCTATTCGCCTATGAACCCGCATGAAGCAATTAGTTTCAAGAGAGCTTGTTTAAAACTTACGTGGATGAGTATCAATATAGAAAGAATTAGACAGGCTATAATTGTTTCAAATAAGCCAAGGGTTACAACTACGTCAGAACCATTTCGTATAATCAAGGTTACAGCAAAATATACAGTAATATAACAACACAGCAATGTTGAAACAGCAAACGACAAGAACTTTATTCTGGGAATACAAAGAAAAATAAAATGATAAGTTAATTAAGATGATAAGCTTTTATAATTCCAAAATTCCAAAAATTCCCCAAAAGCAAAAAACGCTCCGCATACAATTTGGACGCCAACATATAATGTACATAAAACGGATATCAGGGGGGAGGGGTTTCAGAGACAAGCCCGTTTAGCTTAAACGGTTCACAAGTCAAAATTAAATAACTCTCTTGCATCTCTGTTGAATGAGTGAACTTGAATATTATGCACTGAACATGTAGTTGTAAACAGCATCTTTGTATTAAGGTCAAAAACATTTTGTACGCTTGTTGAATAAAACTATAGACTTGCTTCTATTTTGAACTTATCCACTGTTTAAGCTAAACAGGCTTGATACAACGTGCCCCAGGTCAGCCAGGTATCAGACCGGTCAACACTCAACACTTACCTGTTACGTAAACCAATACAGTTATTAACATAAGGACAGTGATGATCAAACGTTCTTACACATCTGTTACATATTCTACAGTGTTTAGTGCGCAATGGTTTGACGAGACGGCAAGTGTGACACAATCGATTCAAAGGACTATCAGTTTTATCCTCCCAATCGTCATGAAGAGCTACCTAAAACAAAAAATATCAAATCATTTTTCATTCGCACCAAAAACTACTGAAACTAACGAAAATTCGTTGTGTATCATTACAATGAAATATATACCATACTATAATATATTTTACACTATTACAATGAAATATTGAACAAAATTTTAAATATTATTTGGTCTTGTAGAAAAATCTCTCTTTAGCTCATGTCCTGCTGTATGGTCGCGCAAATCTCTTTTTGGGGGCCGCGAAATGGCAACGCAAAATAAATCAAAAGTTCAACGTAAAACTAATATTTTCTATTTCTCCATCATGCAACATGGGGACCACCTTGGTCTAAGATTTAGGACAATTTTCTCCCTTTCGCGAACTCCTTTGCATAATATGAATTTTGAGAAAAAATTTCTAGTGAAAGCCCAAGAGAATATTAGTTTGTGGATACATCACGTTAATTTATTATTGCAACGCTACAATAACCAGAATAGAATAATAGAAAAACCAGAGTAAAAATAGAACAGAAAATTGAGAACTTCATACTTGTTTTAAAATCAGTTTATATTCCTCTGTATCACAAGGCAGGAATCCTGGGTCTGTACTTGAAGCAGCATACAATGACAGCCACATAATGAAGTTTAAAAAGATGAATGAATAATGGACGTAAGGCATCTCAGAATACGTCTCTGGTACGACCTGAAAAGATAGATATGACTTACGCCTGTATTCTAAAAACTAATTCACTCACATTCAAATACTAATTACGCGTGACACACGGAAAAATTAGTCAGTAATCATACCATGTAATAATAAATTGGATATCCAATACATATGATATTAATCAACACAAATAAAAGAGGTCCCTTTGACCTGCCGGGTGGTCCAAAAATGATATCACTAAAAAAAGCATATACAAAGATGAATATCCTGTGCATTGAAAAATAGTTTATGAAAATAGTAAATTACGAGACCAACCGTAAAGTAAATTTTATATATCTATTTTGTTTCCTGTAGAGATAGGAAACAATATCATCATAGTGTCTTCCCATTGCCAACATTAAAGGTGTTTTCTGGTTATTATCACGTTCACTGATTGAAATATCCTGCAATAAAACAAATCAATAGCACCTCATTTCACAGGGAGTGGGTTGGTCATTTCTTTTAGAGGTGGATAATGCATATTGTATTTCTAAGGTTGGATAGCATGTACATGGTTTAAACGTTCTAACCTATACCCTCTTGGGCTAAGTAGCATGTGTATACTAAGTTAGGTTGTATGTATGATGGTGTTTTGTTCCTTCAAGCTGTATAGTGTTGTGTTTCTTATAGCTCTTCCCATTTTTGACTTAGTATCACATATTGTGCTGATATCCTTTCCAACCCTTTCATTTTATAATTGTGTCAAACAGGTGTACTTACCATAGCAACTAGATGTTTAACAGCCAGCAAGTTGCTGCTAAGACAAGCTAAATGAATAGGAGCCTGGCAAAATACAGAGACAGAATTTCAGGAATAAATATTTTAGCATCTTCATTTACTTTTTCTATATTTTGTTGATATATTAAGTACAGAAAGTACTTAAATAATAATTTCATCTAGCATTATCCATTACCTGACCCATTTTATCTTTTAATTCTGGATTAAATCCAGAGTATAAAAATAGTGCACCAAATCACTATGACCTAAAAAATTATTATACATAAAACATTAAGACACTACTACACTTTCAGGTTTCACACTTTTTGGTTCATGTTAGATGTTAATTATGTGAATCAACAATACATTAAAGATGACCAATTTCATTAGTAACAAGCAGGAAATATGCTTGTGTACAGAGAACATGCATGTGTACATACAATATAAACTGCATATATATATGCATATAATTGTATCTTTTTCAAAGAATACTTGAGTCAGGTTTTAGTTGAGGTGAATCTGTGGGGTTAGGTACTGACAATTTATGAATTGTAAGTTTAGTGGAATACATAGGATAAATCAAAGATGATTTTGTGGCACTTCACCATTAATCCCCTAACTATTTTATCAGAATATAATGTTGAGGAGGTACCTTTAAATGCTGCCCAGTGGAGAGCACTATCCCCTTCAGTATCAACAGCATGAATATTAGCTCCTTTACCAATAAGATAACTACAAATATTAGATTTGCCATATTGAGCTGCAATAATAAGTGGTGTGCATTGTTTCTTATCAGTAGCCTCAATAGGAACACCATGCTGTAACAGCAGATCAACGATACCAATATATCCTTCAGTGCAAGCCCAGTGTATAGGCTGTGGTCCATAATCATTTTCACTTTGTACATTTAATGGGACATCATTTTCAATAATTGTTTCAACAATTTTGTATGCCCACCAAGACATGCCCAATGTAAAGCAGTATGACCACTTATGTCATGTTCTTTTAAAATTTCTTTTCCTTTTGCCACAATAAGTAATTGAAACATTCGAAAATCCCTAGAAGAAAAAGTGAAAGAGCAACATTATGTGCTAAATGTAACTTTTTCTGAAAATATAATAAAATACTATATTTTTAATATATACATACTAATTCAAATTGTCAATTACTACAGGAATTGCTACTAGATTGGATCAGGTTTAGGATTCTCTCCCTGACCCCACCCTGTGTACTAGCACTCCTAGTAGTAATATGAAATTGGCCCCTTCAATCTATCTCAACCAATAATGTACCAAATAAATGTAAGTCAGGAAGGTGGGCATAAAAATGACAAATGACTCCTGTGTATGTCTGCCCGCCTAACATTGTTGGTACATTCACTGCACCTGTCAATCCCCAATGACGGTGTATAAGCATGCATTCAATTTCCACCGTGGCACTGTGCACATTGACCCCACGATTTATTCCCACTGTTGAGTGATTGCAATTGACGCGGCAAATTCAATACCAACTCATTACTCGTAGTATGGGGGTCTACAGAAACTGCATTTTTACGAATATTTGCTTATTCAACGCAAACAAATTTTTTCTAATGAGGAAGCAAAATATTGAAACATTGAATCGGATCTCCGTAGTTCCTGGTGTATATGGAATATTTACATGTTCAAGCTTGTACTGACAACAGTTCAAGTCTTCAAGAAAAAAGCCCGACAGGCCCCGACTGTGTGTAATGTATGGTCTCTGAAGACCGAAGGGTGAAATATATTTTTTATTTTTTATATTAAATTTCTTTCCAACGCACCCAGATTTAGCAGCTTTAAAAATATCCATTTCAGCACTTTTTGGGCTATTATCTCCATGACTATGGCCTTGACCATCACAATGTGACCCACAAGCATCGGCCGCCATGTTGATCAAAGTTCGAACTTCCGAATGGTGGTAATAATTCCATGTTCAGTATACACCAATATACATACAACACCCTTTTTTAAACATCTATTGTATCATATCATATCATTAAGCATCATACTATATCACACCGTATCATACTGCATCATATAGTATCGTACTATATCATACCGTATCATACCGTGTCACACTGTATCATATTGCATCATACTATATCATACTGTATCAAATTGTATCATAGTGCATCATATTATATCATACTGTATCATATCGTATCATATAGCATCATACTATATCATACTGTATCATATCGTATCATATAGCATCATACTATATCATATCGTATATATAACATCATATAGTATCATACAATATCATACCGTATCATACTGTATCATATAGCATCATACTATATCATACTGTATCATATCGTATCATATAGCATAATATTATATCATACTGTATCATATCGTATCATATAGCATCATATTATATCATATCGTATAATATAGCATCATAGTATCATACTATATCATACCGTATCATACTGTATCATATAGCATCATACATATCATACTGTATCATATCGTATCATATAGCATCATACTATATCATATCATATAATATAGCATCATATAGTATCATACAATATCATACCGTATCATACTGTATCATATAGCATCATACAATATCATACCGTATCATACTGTATCATATAGCATCATACTATATCATATCGTATAATATAGCATCATATAGTATCATACAATATCATACCGTATCATACTGTATCATATAGTATCATACAATATCATACCGTATCATACTGTATCATATAGCATCATACTATATCATACTGTATCATATCGTATCATATAGCATCATACTATATCATATCGTATAATATAGCATCATATAGTATCATACAATATCATACCGTATCATACTGTATCATATAGTATCATACAATATCCTACCGTATCATACTGTATCATATAGCATCATACTATATCATACTGTATCATATCGTATCATATAGCATCATATAGTATCATACAATATCATACCGTATCATACTGTATCATATAGTATCATACAATATCATACCGTATCATACTGTATCATATAGTATCATACTATATCATACTGTATCATATCGTATCATATAGCATCATACTATATCATATCGTTTAATATAGCATCATATAGTATCATACAATATCATACCGTATCATACTGTATCATATAGCATCATACTATATCATACTGTATCATATCGTATCATTTAGCATCATATAGTATCATACAATATCATACCGTATCATACTGTATCATAGTATCATACAATATCATACCGTATCATACTGTATCATATAGCATCATACAATATCATACCGTATCATACTGTATCATATAGCATCATACTATATCATACTGTATAATATCGTATCATATAGCATCATACTATATCATATCGTGTAATATAGCATCATATAGTATCATACAATATCATACCGTATCATACTGTATCATATAGCATCATACTATATCATACTGTATCATATCGTATCATAGCATCATATTATATCATATCGTATAATATAGCATCATATAGTATCATACAATCATACCGTATCATACTATATCATACCGTATCACACCGCATCATATTGCATCATAAAGTATCGTACCGTATCATACCGCATCATACTGTATCATATAGCATCATACTATATCATACTGTATCATATCGTATCATATAGCATCATACTATATCATACTGTATCATATCGTATAATATAGCATCATACTATATCATACTGTATCATACCGTATCAAATAGCATAATATTATATCATATCATATAATATAGCATCATACAGTATCATACAATATCATACTGTATCATATCGTATCAAATAGCATAATATTATATCATATCATATAATATAGCATCATATAGCATCATACTATATCATACTGTATCATATCGTATCAAATAGCATAATATTATATCATATCATATAATATAGGATCATATAGTATCATACAATATCATACCGTATCATACTGTATCATATAGCATCATACTATATCATACTGTATCATATCGTATCATATAGCATCATACTATATCATATCGTATATATAGCATCATATAGTATCATACAATATCATACCGTATCATACTGTATCATATAGTATCATACAATATCCTACCGTATCATACTGTATCATATAGCATCATACTATATCATACTGTATCATATCGTATCATATAGCATCATATAGTATCATACAATATCATACCGTATCATACTGTATCATATAGTATCATACAATATCATACCGTATCATACTGTATCATATAGTATCATACAATATCATACCGTATCATACTGTATCATATAGCATCATACTATATCATACTGTATCATATCGTATCATATAGCATCATACTATATCATATCGTGTAATATAGCATCATATAGTATCATACAATATCATACCGTATCATACTGTATCATATACCATCATACTATATCATACTGTATCATATCGTATCATATAGCATCATATAGTATCATACAATATCATACCGTATCATACTGTATCATATAGCATCATACTATATCATACTGTATCATATCGTATCATATAGCATCATATTATATCATATCGTATAATATAGCATCATATAGCATCATACTATATCTACTATCATACCGTATCAAATAGCATAATAATATCATATCATATAATATAGCATCATATAGTATCATACAATATCATACCGTATCATACTGTATCATAATATAGCATCATACTATATCATACTGTATCATATCGTATCATATAGCATAATATTATATCATACTGTATCATATCGTATCATATAGCATCATATTATATCATATCGTATGATATAGCATCATATAGTATCATACAATATCATACCGTATCATACTGTATCATATAGCATCATACTATATCATACTGTATCATATCGTATCATATAGCATCATAAATATCATATCGTATAATATAGCATCATATAGTCATACAATATCATACCGTATCATACTGTATCATATAGCATCATACTATATCATACTGTATCATATCGTATCATATCGTATCATATAGCATCATATTATATCATATCGTATAATATAGCATCATATAGTATCATACAATATCATACCGTATCATACTGTATCATATAGCATCATACTATATCATACTGTATCATATCGTATCATATAGCATCATATAGTATCATACAATCATACCGTATCATACTGTATCATATCGTATCATATAGCATCATAATATATCATATCGTATAATATAGCATCATATAGTATCATACAATATCAACCGTATCATACTGTATCATATAGCATCATACAATATCATACCGTATCATACTGTATCATATAGCATCATACTATATCATACTGTATCATATCGTATCAGCATCATATAGTATCATACAATATCATACCGTATCATACTGTATCATATAGTATCATACAATATCATACCGTATCATACTGTATCATATAGCATCATACAATATCATACCGTATCATACTGTATCATATAGCATCATACTATATCATACTGTATCATATCGTATCATATAGCATCATATTATATCATATCGTATAATATAGCATCAATAGTATCATACATATCATACCGTATCATACTATATCATACCGTATCACACCGCATCATATTGCATCATAAAGTATCGTACCGTATCATACCGCATCATACTGTATCATATAGCATCATACTATATCATACTGTATCATATCGTATCATAGCATCATACTATCATACTGTATCATATCGTATAATAGCATCATACTATATCATACTGTATCATACCGTATCAAATAGCATAATATTATATCATATCATATAATATAGCATCATACAGTATCATACAATATCATACTGTATCATATCGTATCAAATAGCATAATATTATATCATATCATATAATATAGCATCATATAGCATCATACTATATCATACTGTATCATATCGTATCAAATAGCATAATATTATATCATATCATATAATATAGCATCATATAGTATCATACAATATCATACCGTATCATACTGTATCATATAGCATCATACTATATCATGCTGTATCATATCGTATCATATAGCATCATATTATATCATATCGTATAATATAGCATCATATAGTATCATACAATATCATACCGTATCATACTATATCATACAGTATCACACCGTATCATATTGCATCATAAAGTATCGTACCGTATCATACCGTATCATACTGTATCATATAGCATTAATATCATACTGTATCATATCGTATAATATAGCATCATACTATATCATACTGTATCATACCGTATCAAATAGCATAATATTATATCATATAATATAATATAGCATCATATAGCATCATACAATATCATACCGTATCATACTGTATCAAATAGCATCATATTATATCATATATATAATATAGCATCATATAGTATCGTACCGTATCATAATGTATCATATTGTATCATATAGCATACTATATCATACTGTATCATATCGTGTCATATAGCATCATATTATATCATATCGTATAATATAACATCATATAGTATCATACAATATCATACCGTATCACATTGCATCATAAAGTATCGTACCGTATCATACCGTATCATACTGTATCATATAGTATCATACAATATCATACCGTATCATACTGTATCATATAGCATCATACTATATCATACTGTATCATATCGTATCATATAGCATCATATTATATCATATCGTATAATATAGCATCATATAGTATCATACAATATCATACCGTATCATACTGTATCATACCGTATCACACCGTATCATATTGCATCATAAAGTATCGTACCGTATCATACCGTATCATACTGTATCATATAGCATCATACTATATCATACTGTATCATATCGTATCATATAGCATCATACTGTATCATACTGTATCATATCGTATAATCATATTATATCGTACTACGAAAACGCGCACTACTAGCTACCGTCCTCAGTGTAACGGACGCCTCAAAATCGCACAATTCAGGCTATCCTTTGTTTCTA